CTGTTCCTGGAGGATCTTCCTGTCCAGAGGAGCCTCCCTGCCCCCAGCCCTCAACCAGGAGTCAGTGCCCACCCCCTCCTCTGGAGCAGGCAGACACTGAGGCCCACCCACATCCACCAGGCCCTTTCATTTCTTGGCTCCTCTCCGGCCTCAGGACCTGGAAGCCAGGCAGATGGTGCCCATGGTCACCCTTTCAGCTGAGCCACATGCCCGGGTGCCCCAGGGACAGAGCAGGGCGTGCCACAGGCACTGGCCAAGTCCAGATGGAAACAGGGCCCGGTCCACACCCACCGGGCCCTTTCATTTCTTGGCTCCCCTCCTGCCACAGGGCTTGGGAGCCAGGCAGATGGAGAAGTTGCCTCTGCAGGTCTGACTCAGGCATTCCCCAAACCTGAGGGGAAGTGGCTTGCTCTGGCCCATGCAGGCTGGTGCCCAGGCGGGGGCCCCCGCACCTCTTGTCCTGGATCCCTGTGCTTTTAGGGACCCGCAAGAGGCCTGGAGGCCCCAGGCAAGCAGCTTTTGGGGGCTCCCACGGTGAGGTCTGCACCAAGGTCAGTCTGTGTTCTGGGAAGCAAGAGCTAGAGCCCACACCTACGCCCTCAGCCATGGCCTTCTGACCTTCCTTCACCCTCCTTGTTTACCCCACTCAGTGACACGGGGCTGCCTGACACCCAGATGTGTGTTGACATCTGCTCTGGGCTGGGCGGGGCATAGGTGCCAGGAATGCCGCTGGGAGCAGGACAGCCAGTTCCCCACCCACCTTGCTCTGCCACAGAGGCATGGGAGGGTCAGGTCCTGGCCATGCCACTCACCGGGGCACCAGGAAGGGCCCTTGGCCTCCACTGTCGTGGCATCTATGATGAGGGTGGTTGCAGGGTGGCCTGGGGGAGCCAGCACTGGGGGCTATCAGCCCCACACAGGTCCAGGGCTGAATGGTGGTTCCCAAACAGATAGGATCCAGTCGTAGCCGCTGGTCTATTAGAATGTGGCATGGGAATAGGGTCATTGCGGATGTAATTGGCTGGGTGGTCCCGCTCCAACGCGATGGCATCCTAAGAAGGGCAGCACACGGCGACAGAGACACAGGAGAAGCCGCGTGATGGTGGATGTGGGGGCGGGAGGGGGCGATGGGGGCTGCAGCCAAGGACGCGGAAGCTGGAAGTGTTAGGTGCCTGTGGTCCCAGCTACCTGAGGCAAAGGTAGGACGGATTATCCCATAGGGCGTCTGGAGGGGCTGTGGCCTGTCTGACATCCTCAGCTCTCCTGAACTGGGAAAGAAGAAAGGACCAGTTTGAGGTTCTTTGTTTTGGCGGCCCCAGGCCCTGGACATACCCTGTCTGCCTCCACCTGTGAGTGCTGCTGGGTGCTGGAGGCCAGGAGTGAGGTGAATGTGGTATCCCTCAGCCAACTCCCAGCCACCCGCACTGAGGGTGTCCAGGTATAGCCCAGCTGGGGAACTGGACAGGGAAAGAAGGAGGGGTGCTGCAGTGCTGGGGGGCAGGGAAGGGAGGGAGAAGTGCTGTAGTGTGGGGGGCAGGGAAGGAGGGGGAGAGTGCTGCAGTGTTGGGGGCAGGAAAGGGAGGGGAGGAGTGCTGCAGTGTGGGGGGCAGGGAAGGAGGGGGAGAGTGCTGCAGTGTGGGGGGCAGGGAAGGAGGGGGAGAGTGCTGCAGTGTTGGGGGGCAGGGAAGGGGGAGGGGTGCTGCAGTGTTGGGGGCAGGGAAGGAAGAGGAGGGGTGCTGCAGTGGGGGGCAGATAAGGAAGGGGAGGGGTGCTGCAGTGCCAGGGAGGCCAGGGAAGGAGGGAGAGGGGTGCTGGCAGTGGGGGGGGCAGGGAAGGAGGGGGAAAGGTGCTGCAGTGCCAGGGAGCAGGGAAGGAGGGGGAGGGGGTGCTGCAGTGCCAGGGGGCAGGGAAGGAGGGGGAGGGGTGCTGCAGTGGGGGGGCAGGGAAGGGGGGTGCCTGCAGTGCGAGGGGGCAGGGAAGGCAGGAGGAGGGGTGAGCATTGCTGTGGGGACCATCTTCTTCAGGCTGGGGGTCCAGGGCTCCAAAAACATCTTTCTGCCCCAAAGGAAGCCGCTGGAAGGCCAGGGAAAAGCGTCCCAGACGCCAAGGGTGTGGGCCAGGGGCAGCGGCTTCAGTTGGGTTTGAGGGAATCTAGGGGTATGTGGGCACCTGCTGCTGGGGGGGATTCAGTGAGGTGTGGCCTCGGGCTGAGCTGACGGCGGGTGCCCTGGAACTGTGGAGCTCAACCCAACTGAACGGCCCTCGAATCAGAGCACAGGCTGTGAGGCCCTGGGCAGGACCAGACTGGGCCTGCCCCATAGCTTCAGGACCAGGCAGTGCCCGTGGCACACCCTGCTCTGTCCCTGGGGGCATGCGGGCATGTGGTCCAGCTGAAGCGGTGAACCATGGGCGCACATGCTGCTGACGTGGCCAGCACATGATTCCAGGCAGATCCCCATGACCTGGTGAAATGGACCTGCTGGAGCCGCGTAACTCAAACACCACAAGCCTGGGGGGTCTTAAACGACATTTATTTTCTCACTCCAGAGTCTGATGTCAGAGATCAGGCTGCCGGCAGGGTGGGTCTCCTGAGGCGCTCCGTGGCTTGCAGAGGGCACCCTCTCCCTGAGTCCTCCATGTGGCCTCTGCTCTGTGTGCTCATCCTGGTGTCTCTTCCTTTTTATAAGGACAACAGTTCAGGGCCTCACCCTTAGGACTCACGTAACCTTAATTACCTTCTTAGAGGCCCTATCCATAACACATGGATTAGGGGTTTTTTTTGGAGACAGAGTCTCTGATCTGTCGCCCAGGCTGAAGTGCAGTGGTGCAATCATAGTTCACTGCAGCCTCAAACTGCTGTGTTCAAGTGATCCTTCCCACCCTTGGCCTCAGGTAGCTGGGACCACAGGCACGTGCCATCACACCCAGTTAATTTAAACAAATTTTTTTTTGGCCAGGCATGAGGGCTCAAACTTGTAATCACAGCACTTTGGGAGGCTGAGGCAGGCAGATACTTGAGGTCAGGAGTTTTGAGACCAGCCTGGCCAACATTGGCAAAACCCCATCTCTACTAAAATACAAAATTAGCCAGGCGTGGTGGCAAGCGCCTGTAATCCAGTTACCTCAGGAAGCTGAGACAAGAGAATCACTTGAACCCCGGGAGGTGGAGGCTGCAGTGAGCTGAGATCATGCCACTGCATCCAGCCTGGGCAACAGAGCGAGAGGCTATCTCCGAGCTCAAAAGGATCCTTCCTTTGGCCTTCCCAAGGTGCTGGGTTTATAGGTGTGAGCACTGTGCCCGGCCCACACGTGGGTTCCTATAGATCCCACTTTACCAGGCAGGGACACTGAGGCACGTGGAGCCAGGATACAGACCCAGCAAGTGCCGGTTCCTCTTCTGGGTGGCCCAGCCCATCTCTGACACCCACACTACCCAGGCCTGGTGGCTGATCATGGACATGGGGGCAAGGCAGCTCATCTGGGTGCACAGAGGCAGGAGCTGAGGCAGGGATATGGGCATCCTTTTGGGTACATCTAGTCCTAGAGCTGATGCAGGGGCCAAATGTGCAGCCAAGGCCAGGTCAACCCCAGCACTGCCCTGTGGGTGGGGGTAGCAGGGAGCCAACGGTCCAGGCCCTACATCCTGTTCTAATAGAGTGACAAGTCTGAAGAGGCTGGGGGGTGTACAGGCACTGAGAAGGCAGCAGGAGGACAAGGAGCCAAACATATGGGGTGGCAGGGGAACCCAGGGAGCCGGATACACGGTGGGGGGAGTCCTGGGAGTTGGACACATGGGGAGGTGGGGGGTCCAGGGACCTAGACACAGGGAGTGGGGAGGGATTCCAGGGGGCTATGATACACAGCATGTGGGGTGGGTCCAGGGGGCTAGAACACACGGTGGGGGGGTGGATCCAGGGAGCCGGACACACACGTGGGGTGGGGAGGGAGCATCCAGGGAACCAGGTCTAGGCAGAGGCAACTGGTGCAAAGGCCCCGAGGCCAGAAGAGGGTTTGGTGTGTGAGACGGGACTGAGGGCAGTGGGTGAGGGGCAGCCCCACCGGGACGCGTGGGTCCAGGAGGACGGGCTGTAGGGTGTCTGGGCTGCAGGCACGGCAGGGATTGGAGTGACCCAGTGTAACAATGTGGCGTGGGGGATGACACCAGACCCCCTGGTTTATTGCCCCACCAGGGGAATTCCCAGACACCAGACCACCCCCTCCACTCCCACGCAGAAGTGCGGGCTGAGGGTTCGGGTGGACCAGGGCTGCTCTGTCCCGGGGGCCGGGCTCCGTCATTGATCCGCAGATGGATAAGAACAGGTGCCATTTTCGGGGAATGTGAATGGTGGGGAATGGCTGGCCCTGAGGATGTTGTTCCCACAGGATGGTGGGGGCGCCTCCGGGCCCCGTCCTTTCCCCCAGTTCCCTAACCAGGATCTGAGCGGCCTGCGGCGCACGGCCCGGGCCCCGCCAGTCTCCGAGCCGTGGCGGCGCCGGGAACTCGTGCCCCGGTGGCCGCAGCCCGGACCCTCAGGCAGGACTCGTGGCCCCGGCCCGTACAGACCCCCACGGGCAGCCTCGGCCGCCCCCGCCCCCGGCTCCCCCTCTCAGGGCAAACGCTCAAGACACCCCTTCGGACCGCGAGCCGGGCGGCCTCAGGGAAGCGGGGCGCCTGGGGACCCTCGGCAGGGCCGGGGGCGGCGAGGGTGGGGGCGCCCTCGCGCGGCGGAGCCCCGCCGTCCCCATAGCCCGGAACCCAGTCCGGAGTCGCCCCGCTGACCGGTGAGGAGGCCGGGGCTCCCTCCCTCGATCCGCGGCGGCGGTCGGCTCGGCCCGGGGCGTCTTCGGGCCTGACGCAGCGGCGGAACCCGGCCGGGCCGGGAGCGGCCGGAACCCACGCCAGGGACCCCGGTTTCTGCCGGCGGGACCCGAGCGCTGCAACCGAGCGCAGCCGGACGCGGGCCGGACCTGACCCGGTCGCTGTGGCACGCCGGCGGGGACCGGCAGCGCTGCTGGCGGCCGTTCAGGTGAGGCGCGGGCGGCGGGCGGTGGGCGGCGTGGGCGGCGTGGGAGCCGCTCCGACCACTCTTCCTGTAGAAAACCTCGGGACTTGCCGTCCTGTCGGACGAGGACCTGGAGCGCGAGGGTCGACCCTCAGAGCCCGGCCGGGCTCGGCCGGGGACCCGCTCGCGGAGGCTGCGGCGGGGCGGGGCCGGGAGTGTTTCCTCGGTCGCCTTGGATGACCTGGGGCGGTGGGCGCTGCGACCAGGGCCCCGCAGCCCCGGGAGAGTTCTCCGGGTTCCGCCGCGCCAAGGGACGGCTCCCGGCGCCCAGGCAGCCTTGCTGTGTCTGAGTTTAAAAAAAAAAGAAAAAGAAAGAAAGGCCGGGCGCGGTGGCTCACGGCCTGTAATCCCAGCACTTTGGGAGGCCGAGGCGGGTAGATCGCTTGAGGCCAGGAGTTCGAGACCCGCCTGGCCAACATGGTGAAACCCCGTCTCTTACTAAAAAATGCAAAAATTAACTGGGGCGTGGTGGTGGGCGCCTGTTGTCCCAGCTACTCGGGAGGCTGAAGCAGGAGAATCGCTTGAACCCGATGTTGTAACCGAGCGAGTTATAGAGAGAACGCACACTCTGAGACTAATTCAGGCGTTCTTTATTGCCGCGGCGACCGAGAGACGGCTAGAGCTCGAAATTTATCCCCGCCCGAAGAAGGGGCTAGATTTCTTTTTAAACCTTGGTCTAAATAGGGGGACGGGGGAGTCTAGCTGAAGCTTTTTTTTTTTTTTTTTTTTTTTTTTTTTTTTTTACAGAAGCAGAACAGCAAAAAAGTTAGAAATGTTACAGAAACAGTACAGGAAAAAACAAAAAACAGTTTCAGGTGCAGGGCTTCAGTTTACCACAAGTGATAACGCAGGGGCTTTGGGTACCATCAACAGAGCGCGTTCCCAGGAGCTGCTGGTACAGCTTGCTCCATTTCTATCAGTAAGTGCATTCCCTGGATGTGCTTGGGGTCGGCTTGCACCAGGTATGTCCTTAAGGGAGGGGAATAGAGGCTGCAAGCAAAGAAACCAACATGGAGCTGTCCAGCTCATCAGCTAAGAGAGAATCAATCAGGGGTTAAAACAAGGTAGGGTATTACACCGCGAGGCAGAGGTTTGCGGTGATCCGAGATCGCGCCGTTGCCATCCAGTCTGGGAGACAAGAGTGAAACTCCATCTCAAAATAAAAAAAAAAAAAATTATCTGTAACTAGAAAAAGATACAAAAGCAGCACAAAGATTTCCCGTGTACCCTTTACCCAACCCTAGAATGCTGATCTCTTACAGAACCACAGTCATTCAGCACATGGAGACGCTGGCGTTCATGTTATATAATCCGTGATCTGGTCTCCAGTATTTATTCCCGTTAGCGCTGCTTCAGGATAACTGTACCGTGGTCCAGGATCCAGTGATAAGTCCACTATTTATAAAATGCCCCCATTTTGGATTTCTTGATGTTTTCTCGTAATTGATTTCATATTACTCATTTTTGGGCCCAGAAAACTTCAAAACAGGGAAATTGTGTCCTTCCCAGTGTCTTATGAGCCACAGGATGCCCTGGCTGTTGGTGCTCATCGGGGCCCGGGGGCTGAGGTGGTGCCTGCAAGTGTGTCCACAAAGTTGGGGGTCCTTCCTTGTAATATGCAGTATTTTATGGGGATATTTTGCCACTATGTAAAACAATCTTCTTTCTTTTTTCTTTTCTTTTCTTTTTTTTTTTTTTAAGATGGAGTCTCTCTTCACTGCCCAGGCTGGAGTTTGGGTGGCACAATCTTTGCCCACTGCAACCTCCACCTCCTGGGTTGAAGTGATTCTCTGCCTCAGCCTCCCAAGTAGCTGGGATTAACGCTGCCCATCGACCACTCCCAGCTAATCTGTGTATTTTTAGTAGAGACGAGGTTTCACCATGTTGGCCAGGCCAGTCTCAAATTCTGACCTCAGGTGATCCACACCTTGGCTCCCAAAAGTGCTAGGATTTACAGGTGTGAGCCGCACGTCAGCCTTTTTTTTTTTTTTTTTTTAATTTTTTTTTTTTTGGACTTGAGTCTCTTTCTCTTTCAACCCCAAGTGGAGTGCAGTGGCTTGATCTTGGCTCACTGCAACCTCTGTCTCCCGGGTTCAAGCGATTCTCCTGCCTCAGCCTCCGAGCAGCTGGGATTACCACACCTGCACCATGCCCAGCTAATTTTTATTTTTATTTTTATTTTTTTTTGTATTTTAGTAGAGACGGGGTTCACCATGTTGGTCAGGCTGGTCTTGAACTGCTGACCCCAAGTGATCCGCCTGCCTCGGCCTCCCAAAGGGTTGGGATTACAGGCCTGAGCACAACGCCCAGCAAGATCTTGTTCTAACCATATACTTCTGTCACTAATTTTAGCACCCATGAGTGTTTCCCCAAAATAACTATTAATGTGCTATTTGTTAAATGATTTTTCTGTTTCCGTTACTCCTACATTTATAGTTGGGATTCTCCTGTAAGAAAGAACCATCTCTTCTCATCAATTTCTATTAATTTTCATTACTATATCTTTTTTTTTTTTGAGATGGCGTCTCACTCTGCCATCCAGGCTGGTGTGCAGGGGTGAGGTCTCGGTGTTAGTACGAGTCTCACTCTGTCGCCCAGGCTGTGAGTGCAGGGGTGAGGTCTCGGTGTTAGTACGAGTCTCACTTTGTCACCCAGGCTGGAGTGCAGGAGTGACGTCTTGTATTAGTACACTTTTTATCCCATGGATTCTAACCCATTGCTATCATGTACTTGTGGCTCACATTGTCCAGATTAAGGTGTTAGAAGCCCCTTCAGTTGGCCTCTCTGTCCTCATAGCACGTCCCAACCTTCTGGAGCATTTTCTTTCTTTCTGGCACCACAGAATTCAGGCTCATCTTACGCTGCCTGACATATCTCCCCAGAATCAGTCATTTCTCCAAGGAGTCCTGGTTCCTTTAGTTTAGAAGGTGTGTTTAGAAACCAAGATCCAGTACCAGATAGACATATTGCTTCTGGGATGCCATTTCTTCTTGGTTTTCTTAATGGATAGAGCTAGGCAACATGTGTTTCTATACACTATTACAATGTAAATCTATTTCAGTGTATCTGTGTCCGTGTATATATTAAAAACCCGTGGCTGGTACAGTGGCTCATGCCTGTAACCCAGCACTTTGGAAGCTGGGGGGAAAATCACTTGAGGTGAGGAGTTGGAAACCAGCCTGGCCAAACCAAAGTGAGACGCCCATCTCTATAAAAATTATAGAATAAATTAGCCAGGCATGGTGGCGTGTGCCTGTAGTCCCAGCTACTTGGAGGCTGAGGTGGAGGACTATCTGAGCCCAGGAGTTTGAGGCTGCAGTGAGCTATAATCATGCCACTCACTCCAGCTGGGTGACCAGAGTGAGATCCCATCTCAACAAACAAACAAACACAAATATACCTTGAGTTTATTACAAGTTACCCACTTGTAATCAAGTTAGGTTCACCTGTTCTTTTTTTTTTTTTTTTGAGACGGAGTCTCGCTCTGTCGCCCAGGCTGGAGTGCAGTGGCCGGATCTCAGCTCACTGCAAGCTCCGCCCTCCGGGGTTTACGCCATTCTCCTGCCTCAGCCTCCCGAGTAGCTGGACTACAGGCACCCGCCCACGCGCCCGGCTAGTTTTTTTTATTTTTTTTTAGTAGAGACGGGTTTCACCGCGTTAGCCAGGATGGTCTCGATCTCCTAGACCTCGTGATCCGCCCGTCTCGGCCTCCCAAAATGCTGGATTACAGGCTTGAGCACCCGCGCCCGGCCAGTCACCTGTTTCTACTTCATTTGAGTCCTTACTGATTTTAAGGGTTTTGTTTTTTGTTGTGCTGTTTGGCACGTGAAACGTGTACTCGTTCTAAAAGTCCGCAAAGTCTAACTCAACGACAAGACTTTGACTTTAACTTCTATTTCTCATTTACTCACTTTTTTGACAAGTGCACATTCAAAAGAAAACAGCTCTTCATGTTCCTCCCGGTGGTGGTGCCCTTCCTTCTCCAGCATAGTGCCCAGTGACAGAATTAACACCTACTGCACCGATCTCTCTTATTCTCAGTTTTAAAAATGTTTGTGGTTACTCTTTGGCAGTCAGTGAAGCGGAAGTGAAAAAAAAATGGGGTCACAGGTACATAATTTTGTCCCCTGGACCTATTTTAAAGAAGTAGGATGAGAGGCCGGGTCAGTGACTCCACCTGTAAGTAGGTGGGAAGACCTCGCTTGAGTGTGTAGTTTTTTTTTTATTTGAGACAGAGTCTCGCTCCCCATCGCCCAGGCTGGATGCAGTGACTAGGTCTCGGCTCACTGCAAGCTCTGCCTCCTGGGGTTCATGCCATTCTCCTGCCTCACGTCCTGAGTAGCTGGGACTACAGGCACCTCCACCACGCCCGGCTAATTTTTTTGTATTTTAGTAGAGATGGGATTTCACTGTGTTAGCTGGGATGGCCTTGATCTCCTGACCTTGTGATCCCGCCCGCCTCGCCTCCCAAAGTGCTGGGACTACAGGCGTGAGCCAGCACGCCCGGCCGGTTGTAGGTTTTTAGATGGGCATTCCGAGGCTGCAGGGAGCCATGATGTGCCACTGCACTCCATCCTGCGCGACAGAGTGAACTCTGTTTCAAAACAAAAAGAGTGGATGTACTGAATTTAGCCTCCCAGAGGGCTGAGCAGCACTCTCTGGAATCCAACAGGGGCCGCAAGAGCTAATTCATACACTTAAAGGTGAGAGGATCATTTGAGGCCAAGAGTTCAAGACCAGCCTGGACAACATAGTGGAACCCCAATCTCTACAAGAAATTAAAAAAAAAAAAAAAAAATAACTGCCTGCAGTCCCAGCTACTCAGGATACTGAGATCGAGTCCTCTGTCCTGAGTACAAAGTGAGTGAGCCACCCCAGACCTGCCTTCCGTCCCAGAAAGTGTCTTGTAAGTTAAGGGGTATTAGCCGGGCGCGGTGGCTCACGCCTGTAATCCCAGCACTCTGGGAGGCTGAGGCGGGTGAATCACAAGGTCAGGAATTCAAGACCAGCCTGGCCAAGATGGTGAAACCCCATCTCTAGTAAAAATACAAAAATTAGCCAGGCGTGGTGGCAGGTGCCTGTAATCCCAGCTACTTGGGAGGCTGAGGCAGAGAATTGCTTGAACCCAGGAGATGGAGGTTGCAGTGAGCCGAGATCGCATCACTGCACTCCAGCCTGGGCAAGAGAGCCAGACTCTGTCTAAAATAATAATAATAAGAGTATTAAATATATTTACATATGGAGGTCATAAAAAATATATATATTTGGGCCTGGTGCAGTGGCTCACGCCTGTAATCCCAGCCCTTTGGGAGACCGAGGCGGGTGGATCACCTGAGGTTGGGACCAACATGGAGAAACCCCATCTCCGTGTATTTTTAGTAGATTTTATTTTGTGTGTATTTTATTCACAGGTCTGGAAAACTCACACTGTTTTTCCTCTACTCTCACACCACAAGAATCATCAGCACAGAGGAAGACTTCTGTGACCAAATGTGGCGGGAGAGGGAGTTTGTCACCAGCATGTGAGCAGTCAGCTCTGCAGCAGACTCGGCTGGGTGTCCTTCAGTTCAGTTCCACTATCGCCTGCCTGGAGAGAGGTCAGACCACAGGGTGAGGGCTCAGTCCCCAACATGCAGCCACCCAAGGGTTCACCCCGCCCGCTGCCTAGGCAGAGCCGATTCACCGAGGCAGGGAATTAGGATCGAGAAAGAGTGAGTCACGCAGAGCCAGCTGTGCGGGAGAACGGAGTTTTATTATGACTCATATCAGTCTCCCCGAGCATTCGGGGATCAGTTTTTAAGGATAACTTGGTGTGTAGGGGCCAGTGAGTTGGAGACGAAAACCTAGGGAGTCGAAGGTGTCCTCTTGCGCCGAGTCAGTTCCTGGGTGGGGGCCACAAATGGGATGAGCCAGTTTATCAGTCTGGGGGGTGCCAGCTGATCCGTGGAGTGCAGGGTCTGCAAAATATCTCCAACACTGATTGATCTTAGGTTTTACAATGGTGATGTTACCCCAGGAACAATTTGGGGAAGGTCAGAATCTTGTAGCCTATAGCTGCATGACTCCTAAACCATAATTTATTATTATTTTTTTTCTTTTTGAGACACGGTCTCACTCTGTCACCTAGGCTGGAGTGCAGTGCTGCGATCACGGCTCACTGAAGCCTCAACCTTGTAGGCTCAAGTGATCCTTCCACCTCAGCCTCCCTGGTAACTGAGACTACAGGCGTGCACCATCATGCCCCAGTTAGTTTTTGTATTTTTGGTAGAGACAGCATTTTGCCATTTTGCCCAGGCTGGTCTCGAACTCCTGGACTCAAGTGATCCTGCCTCAGCCTCCCAAAGTGCTGGGACAACAGGGGCCAGCCACTGCGCCTGGCCCTAAACCATAATTTCTAATCTTTTGGCTAATTTGTTAGTCCTACAAAGGCAGTCTAGTCCCAGGCAAAAAGGGGGTTTGTTTCAGGAAAGGTGCTACTGTCTTTGTTTCAAACTAAGTTTCTCCCAAACTTAGTTCGGCCCACACCCAGGAATGAAAAGGAGAGCTTGGAGGTTAGAAGCAAGATGGAATTGGTTAGGTCAGATTTCTTTCACTGTCTCAGTTATAATTTTGCAATGGTGGTTCAAAGACTGCCCCGCTTCTGACACCAGTCACTAGTCCTGGCCTCTGGAACTTCTGACTGACCACTGGCTTCAAGTTGGGGTTCTCACAACCCCCTCTTTGGGTTCGATTTGCTGGGGTGACTCACAGAACCCAGGGAAACACGTAGGTTTAACAGTTTATCATAAAGGGTATTACAGAGGATACAGATGAGATGCGTAGGGGGAGATATGGGGGAAGGGGTTTCCTGGAGGACCCCCAGCCCCCCCACCACTCCCCAGGAACCTCTCCAAACCCTGTCCTCTGGGTTTTTAGGGAGGCTTCCTGAAGTCAGCATTCCTTCCCCCAGGGTAGAGGGTGGGCGCTCTGGGGAGAGGCTTATGACCTACAATGGAAGGTCAGGTGAGAGTGGCGACCTGGGAGGATTCTGTGTCCTGAGGCCTGACACGCCCAACGTTGTAACAAAAGACTGTGACGAGGGAGAGTTATGAGCCAGGAACTGCAAGAAAACCATGATGCGTCATCATACCACAACAGGTAGACCTACAACATCACCGTTAGATCAGCTCAGTATTTTAAATGAGAAAATCTAAGTGATGGGACGCCCCCGGTGCTGTGCCAGCCCCTGCTGGGAGGTTCTCCTGGAAGGGGGTGCCTGCTTGGCAGTGGGGCCCTCCCCTCCCCGGAGGCTTCTCCTGCCGCTCCCCAACCCGGAAGCTTCATGTGGTCCTTCTTGAAACCAGGTGCTTGCTAGTGACGCCTGCTGGCCGACAGGCAGATTGCGTCCAGACGCTGAACCCATGCTTTTGAAAGCCAATTAATCTCCGCCTTGAGGCTTTGGGGATCATCCAGAGATGGGATTTGTACGGAAGCAGGGCAGGCCGTTCTATGATGAGGTTAGAAGGAAAGGCGTGCCAAGCCCAGCTGACTTACAGGCCCTTGGTGTGTGGAGCTTCTCGTGGGTCCTGAGTGTGATGGATAAGGCGCTGGAGAAGCTGGGCGCTCCCTGGGTGCTGCAGCGAGTCACTTGCTGTGTGGATTTATCAGGCTGCTCTTCTGTGCAGAACACAGAGGCCGGGTAGCACCCTCTCACATAGAGGGGTGGCGCGTGCCATCTGCCTGTCCTGGCTGCCTGAAGCTTTTGAGAAGCGGGTGACCTGCTGAGTCCTGAGCCCTGGTGGGAAGGAACCTCACCCAATGTGGGGAGAGGGGTCTGGGGGGCCTGGAGTAGCACGTGTGCAGAAACTGGCAGATAAAGGCTGCTCTGGGCCTGCAGGGAGCAGCTGAAGCCACGCAGGCTGGGCCCCGTCCTCGGTATGTCTTCATACACTGTGCCAAGGAGATCGAACTTTATTTTGAAAATGTCAGGAGTCGTGGGCAGATTTGAGGCCAGATAAGGTCACGTGATCAGATTCTCAGAAGAGCAACCCCCATGGGTGGCTGTGATCGATGAGTTAGAGGCAAGTCCAGTGGCAGGGCGCCTGGTACCGGACGGAGCCACAGGCAGTCCTCAGAGAAGAGGCCCGTAGACCTCGCAGATCTCAGGCTCTGCAGAGAACGGTGGTCAGGACTCACGGGCACTGTGTGAAGGGTTCTGAGTCATCAGAGATCACAGTGATGTTCCATCATTTAATGTGTATTTGCTGATATTCCGATTCTTTCTCTGTGTGTGCACAGGTGTGTGCATGGCCTCTATGTACAAAATGTTTCTGTCGCCAAGACTGTGCCAGACGGCGGGACTCACTACACCTGACACTGGGGCGATGGCGTTGTGCCAACATGAGATGGCAGTTAGGAGAGCTTCCCTGCAGTGATATTCAGGTTGAGGTCCCAGTGGCAGGAGGAGCCTGCCCTGTGGTTAGGAGGAACTTTGCAGGCAGAGGGCACCTGCCACACATCCCAGGCTCTGGGGGCGCGTGGCAGTGGCAGGAAGGAGTCTGGGGTCCAGGTGTCCTCAGTGGAATGGGAAACCTGGTTAAGCATTTTTGAAAAGATTCCTTTGGCAACCAAGAAAGTGGGAGTGCACAAGAGGCCAGTTGAGGTCTTTTGCGGTAAGACACTGTGGTGGCCGAGGTGTGGGCACAGGGTGGGAGACAGCGAGAGGGGTGGACGGTAGGGACACTGTAGGAGCCGAGGGAGACGAGGAGCAGGAGTGTGGGAGAGCACTGAGATGGTCGGTAGGGACGCCATTAGTTCGGGCAATGGGTGGGCACGCGCAGCTTGGAGGAGCCAGGCCGAGGTGGTCCAGGTGGCGTGATGGGCCCAGGGTGTTGGGCGGGGCTGGGCAGGGGGCTGCATCGCGGGAAGCGTGTGGGATGAAGGCCATCTTTGCTCCAGAGCCTCGTCAGAGAAGTGCCGTCTCAGGATCCCCAGGGGGCCCCCGTGCCGCCAGTGGGTGTGCCCTGCTGACCAGCCCTTTCTGGAGGGGCCCACGGGTCTTGCAGCCCCTTGTGCTTTGTTACCCACCTCCTCCTTGTGCTTTGTCACGGCTGGTGCTCAGCCTGGCTGTGCCATTGTACCCGCTCCCTCTGGGAGTTGGGACTTTGTACAACCTCTGCTGTGGCCCGAGGGGCACAGGTACCCAAGACAGGCTGGGGCTTCTTTCTGCTCTGGCAGCAGCTCCCGGGCCATGTCCCACCAGGCCGGAAGTTTGTGCTTGTCCCCCAACTGGGTGTGGCCCTTTTAGGCCATGTAGTGCCCCTGTGTGGACACCAGAGAAGAACTGTGGGGGATTTCTGTGTCCAAATTGAGCTCATGCTTGGACCTCTAGAGGGTTGGGGGCAGCTAGGACCAGCCAGAAGAAACTTTCTTTTTTAATAGACCACTCACTGTGGCGTGGAACTCCTGAGTTCGAGTGACCCGCCCACCTCAGCCTCTGAAAGTGTTGGGATTACAGGCAACAGCTACTGTGCCCAGCTTGTTGGTTTTTGTGATCTTTGTTTTTAAATTTTATTTTTTCTAGCACTTTATTTTTATGGTTTTACCAAAATATCAGTCCATGATGAACAAAATAAAAGAACAAAGGAGGCCGGGCGCGGTGGCTCAAGCCTGTCATCCCAGCACTTTGGGAGGCCGAGGCAGGCGGATCACGAGTTCAGGAGATCGAGACCATCCTGGCTAACACGGTGAAACCCCGTCTCTACTAAAAAATACAAAAAAATAGCCGGGCGAGGTGGCGGGCGCCTGTAGTCCCAGCTACTCGGGAGGCTGAGGCAGGAGAATGGCGTAAACCCGGGAGGCGGAGCTTGCAGTGAGCTGAGATCCGGCCACTGCACTCCAGCCTGGGCGACAGAGCAAGACTCCGTCTCAAAAAAAAAAAAAAAAAAAAAAAGAACAAAGGAATGTACTCTTGGATGGTATATTAAACCGTTCTTACATTGCTAGAAAGAAATACCTGACGCTGGGTAACTTATGAAGAAAGAAGATTTAATTGGCTCACGGTTCTCCCGGCTGTACAGGAAGCATAGCGTTGCCACCAGCTTCTGGGCAGGCCTCAGGAAACTTTCACTCATGGCGGAAGGTAAAGGGGGAGCAGGCAGAAGCAAGAGAGGGAGTGTGAGTGGCGGAGAGACGCCACATCTCACCGGAACTCATTATCACCAGGCTCTTGGAAATGACAAGATCTCCCCAGAACTCACTGTCACGAAGACGGCGCCACGAGGGGTCCGCCCGCACGGCGCAAACACCTCCCTCCAGGCTGCAGCTCCCACGCTGGGGATTACAGAGGGGTCCGCCCGCACGGCGCAAACACCGCCCTCCAGGCTCCAGCTCCCACGCTGGGGATTACAGAGGGGTCCGCCCGCACGGCGCAAACACCGCCCTCCAGGCTCCTGCTCCCACGCTGGGGATTACAGTTCCACACGAGATTTGGGCAGGGATAAATATCCAAACCGTATCAGGTGGTGGATCTTTCAGGAGCAGGGCGTTAGGTGGGAAGGGGCGTTGGTTCTGAGGGACTGACCCGGTGTCAGTCCTCGCGTAGCCACTTAGCAGCCTTAGTTTTCTCAGCCGTGAAATGGACAGGGTGCTGCGTTGAAGCTATTTTATAGAACCTAGCTCTTGTAGCTGGACAAACCGTGTTTCCCATCTTTCCTTCCTCTACTTCCTCTGGATTTCTTTTTTTTATTTAATTTTTTAATTTTTGGAGAAAAGCGTCTTACTGTCGCCAGGCTGGAGTGCAGCGGCGCAATCTGCTCACTGCAGCCTCTGCCTCCCGGGTTCAAGTGATCCTCCTGCCTCAGCCTCCCGAGTAGCTGAGATCACAGGCATGCGCCACCACGCCAGGCTAAATTTTATATTTTTAGTAGAGACGGGGTTTCACTGTGTTGGCCAGGCTGGTCTCAAACTCCTGACCTCAGGTGATCCGCCCACCTCAGCCTCCCAAAGGGCTGGGATTACAGGAGTGAGGCACCGCGACTGGCCTTTTTTTTTTTTTTTTTTTTTTTGAGAGAGAGTCTTGCTCTGTCACCCAGACTGGAGTGCAACCTCCGCCTCCTGGGTTCAAGCGATACTCCTGCCTTAGCCTCCCGAGTAGCTGGGACTACAGGCACGTGCCACCAAACCAGGCTAATTTTTTATATTTTTAGTAGAGATGGGATTTCACCATGTTAGCCAGGCTGGTCTCGATCTTCTGACCTCAAGTGATCCACCCACCTTGACCTCCCAAAGTGCTGGGATTACAGGCATGAGCCACCATGCTCGGCCTAATTTTTGTATTTTTAGTAGAGACAGGTTTTTGCCATGTTGGCCAGGCTGTTCTTGAACTCCTGACCTCAGGTGATCCGCCTGCCTCGGCCTCCCAAAGGGCTGGGATTACAGATGTGAGCCGCTGCGCCCGGCCATGGTAACTGTTGATAGGGAATGTGAGGTGGGTACTGTGGAAGGAAAATTAGGGCCCCTCACGGTGCACCCTGAACCTGCTTTCTCTTTACTGCAGCGGCCACCATGCTGCCACTGGACTCAGAGCCGGCCCTGAATGAGCTGCTGCTTCACAAGGAGGAGGAGTGGAGGGCGTTGCAGGCCCACCGCAGCCAGCTGCAGGAGGCGGCTCTGCAGGACACACGGAGCCAGCTGGAGGAGGCGCAGGGGAAACTGCGGTGCCTGCAGGAGGACTTTGTCTACAACCTTCAGGTGCTGGAGGAGCGGGACCTCGAGCTGGAGCGCTATGAAGCTGCCTTCGCCCGGGCCAGGGAGTGGGAGGAGGCCAGGCGGGCAGAGGTGAGCGAGCTCAAGATAGAGGCAGCTAAGCTGAGGCAGGCGCTAGCCAGAGAGGCCAGGAAGGTGGAGGAGCTGCAGCAGCAGCAGCAGCTGGTGTGGCAGGAGCATCGCCTGGAGCTGGAGCGCGTCCACAGGTGAGCCACCGACCGACGAGCCCTCCCCCGCAGCGCCTGGCGGAGGCCCCCACACGCCCCCTGCTCCACTGTGCTGCCCGAGCACTGCCCACTCTCACTGCCCCTCCTCCCGCTGCTGATTCCGGGCCACGGGAGCTGGTCTGTCTGAGTGGCCGAGTGTCTCGTGGCTTCTGAACGTGTGTTTGTTGAGTGAATGTGTGTGGATTCAGGAATGCCCTGTCTTTTTCTGGGCTCTGATATAACTCTGAAATTAATGGAGATTGGTTTAAATATTTGGAATTTATTTCATTAATTACAAATCTATATTAGCACGTATTTGAATTTATAATGATTTTAATATGAAGTCTGTAGTAATTTCAAAACTAAATGAGCTGACTTAAGGCAAAGTCGACATAAAAACCTACAGCCTTTGTCGTGGGGCCTGTGGTGGGGCCCCTGGAACTTACCCACATGCCCGGTGTCCCCTCAGCGCCACTCAGCCAGCCACGCTGTGGAGAGTTTGGGGAGACAGGAGGGAAGGAAGGAGGACAGGCTTCTCTGACAAGATCTTCCATCCCCCACTTCGGAAGCACCGCAGGTTCATCATAGCACGTTAGCAGTTAGAGGCCCTTCCTGTGTAATGTGTGTGTGCAGATGTCAGGAGAGCCGGCTGTACGCTCTGTTTGCACTTAACAGGAGCCTAGATACTTTTTTTTTTTTAATGTTTTACGTATTCTTCTAATGTAAGCAGCATTTTTTTTTTTTTTTTTGAGACGGAGTTTCACTCTGTTGCCCAGGCTGGAGTGCAGTGGTGGGATCTCGGCTCACTGCACGCTCCGTCTCCCAGTTCAAGTGGTTCTCCCGCCTCAGCCTCCGGAGTAGCTGGGACTATAGGTGCCCACCACCACGCCTGGCTATTTTTTTTTTTCCTGTATTTTTAGTAGAGATGGGGTTTTGCCATGTTGCCCAGGCTGGTCTTGAACTCCTGACCTCAGGTGATCCACTGGCTTCGGCCTCCTAAAGTGCTGGGATTATAGACATGAGCCACCGCACCTGGCCATAAGCAGCTTTTTAAAGTACTTTTTAAAGCCACAGGAGTAAACTATTCTTATCATAGAAAGTCATTTCTCAGAGAAGACACTGTGGTGGAATGGGAAAGTAAAAGCCGCCAAGGACCATCTGTTGTGTCATCTCCAGGCCCTAAAGAGAGCCGCCTGCGCACACCGCTCCAAAATGTGCGTCCAGCACTTCCTGATTGATTTGTGGCGTCTGTTCTTTGTGTCAGTGTGCTGGGTTCTGCCGCACCCTTTTGACTGACCGGCTACCCTCTGTTGTGTATGCTGGGCCTGTTTGCTCAAAAGGGTCTCAGATGGGTGTGAGCAGGCCAACAGGACCACGCCAGGTGCTCCTGTGCAGCAGAGAGACCTTCTGCGGCAGGTCAGGTGCAAGGAGAGGAGACCCACGTTGGTAGGTGCGGTGCCACTCTGGCTCAGAAGGCCCGGCCAGTATTCCGCAGCCGGTATCTCCTGTAGCAGCCCACAGGGATCACGTCTGTGGCCCCGCAACAGATGTACCCCAATGAGAGTCACTGTCTTCTAGGAAGCCTACAGTATTTATGGCTCCTTTATCGCATCTCCCTGTATGGATAAACAGCGTGGATAGAAAGTGCCAGTCCACAGTCGTTTGACCCAAGCAGCACTGCTTGGTAACGTGGCACACACCCACGTGCCACCTTCCCAGGGTCCAGGGAAAGAGCTAGAGAGTTGAGCTGGAAGTCAGCTTCTCCCTGAGTGGAGGGAGAGTGTCTAGAAGCTCCCGTCCCCAGCATGAAGGCTGGCGCTCAGGCTGCACCTTGTCCAGACGCCGAGTCCATGCAGGCGCATGCGGTGCTTGGACAGCTTTGCCCTCCCGTGTGGGTGCTGACTTTCTCATAGCTGTTTCCAGAATGTTCAGAGCATCCTTTTAAAAGTGCTTTACATTATGTTGTGAGGTGTCTCTTCAAGTCTTTTGCTCATTCTTCTCTCCAAGTGTGGGATGTTTTCAGCCATGTTCAGGTACTTTCTCAGTCTCACACTCTTGTTTTTTTGAGACAGAGTCTCACTGTGTCACCCAGGCTGGAGTGCAGTGGCGTGATCTCGGCTCACTGCAGCCTCTGCCTCCGGGGTTCAAAGGATTCTCCTGCCTCAGCCTCCGGAGGAGCTGTGATTACAGGTGTGCGCCACCACGCCCGGCTAATTTTTGTATTTTTAGTAGAAACGGGGTTTCACCACGTTGGCCAGGCTAGTCTCGAACTCCTGACCTCAAGTGATCCACCCACCTCAACCTCCCAAAGTGCTGGGATTATAGGCACGACCCACCACACCCAGCCTGCTATAGCTTTTTCTTTGCTGAGATTTGTTTTTCCGTTTGCTTTATTCGATTACTGGAAGTGCTTTTATAACGACTGCTATAGCATCCTTGTTGAAGAATTCCAGCGTCTGTGTCATCTTCGTGTTGGCATCACCTATTGTCTTTTTCTCTTTCAAGCGCAGATCTTTCTTTTTTTTTTTTTTTTGAGACGGAGTCTTGCTGTGTCGCCCAGGCTGGAGTGCAGTGGCGCTATCTTGGCTCACTGCAAGCGCCGCCTCCTGGGTTTACACCATTCTCCTGCCTCAGCCTCCCTAGTAGCTGGGACTACAGGCGCCCGCTGCCACACCTGGCTAATTTTTTTGTATTTTAGGTAGAGATGGGGTTTTACCTTGTTAGCCAGGATGGTCTCGATCTCCTGACCTTGTGATCTGCCCACCTTGGACTCCCAAAGTGCTGGGATTACAGGCATGAACCACCGCACCGGTCAGATCTTTCTGGTTTTTGGTTGTCAGTTTTTTTTCTTTTATTGTATCCTGGACATTTTGGATTTTATGTTGTGAGACTTTGGGCCCTATTTAATTTCCTCTTTTATAGATTGGTGTAGCATGCTGGTCCAGGTGGGGCTGGAAGTTCTGCTACCCTGTGGGTCCTACTGAAACCACCCCTTCGTAAAGCAAAGCACCAACTTTCACGTGTCAAGTACACCTTGAAAATGTATTACCTTTGCTGAATATTTGGTGTGGCTTTGCTTAATGCTGTTTTATTACCACAGTGACAAGAATGGTGAGATCGACCACCACCGGGAACAATATGAAAATCTGAAATGCAGGCTGGAGAGAAAACTTGAGGAGCTCGATGGTGAGCTTGCTCTGCAGAGACAGGTAGAGCCTCTGGGTCAGCCCCTTCCTGGGTGCTTTCCCCGCCTGCCCACTGGGAAGCTGAAGTCATGTAGGGCTGAGGAAGAGACAACCATTCGGTTCATTGCCTGCATTCTCCTTGGAGTACAATGGCGCCATCGGGGCAGACGCCACTCTGAGACGGTCTGCAGGGAAACAGGATGGGCTGTCTGCATGCAGCCACCTCCACGGTGCTTCCTTGTTTCCTTTCCTCACAGATTAGTCAGGGTTCTCCAGGGAAACAGGCAATAGGAGATAAATCGTAGGAATTCATTCATGCAGTTATGGAGGCCATGAACTCCCACAGTTTGCCATCTGCAAGCTGGAGAACCTGGGAAGCTGGTGGTGTAATTCAGCCCAGGTGTAAAGGCCTGAGCACCAGGGAGCCACTGATGTGAGTCCTGGTCCAGTTCTGAAGGCTCAAGATACAGGAGCCCAGTGTCCAAGGCAGGAGAAGGCGAATGTCTCAGCTCAAGCAGAGAGAACAAGTTCACCCTTCATTGCATTTTGTTCTGTTCAGGCCCTCAGTGGATTGGATGACACCCGTCCACGCTAGGAGGGCAGATCATCTTTACTTCGTCTGTGAATTACAATGCTAGTCTCTTCTGGAAACACCCTTGCAGACACTCCCAGAAATAATTTTTTACCAGCTATCTGGGCAGCCTGTAGCCTAGTTGTTTGACACATGGAATTAACCAGCACACCTCAGAAATGATGAAACTTTTAAATTGATTTTTAGAAAAGTATAATTTTAAAAACATGAATTTTTACTGTAGAAAAGAATTTGGAATTCAATTATGGTAAGTTTAAAATGCTTCAACTGACAAATGGCAGTCACCGAATTTCTCCTCAGGGTTCTTGAAACTCAGCCTACACCTCCAAGAGACCGAGCTGTGCTGGGGTTTTGTCGAAAGACATCCTATAGATTTATATCCAGAGACCACAGTCAGAGATGCTGCTACTGTGTGCATATGTGACAAGGGGCCGCGTCTCTGCAGGTATACGTGTGATGAGGGACTGTGCCTGTACAGGTGCAGGTATATGACATGGGGCTGTGTCTGTGCAGGTGCAGGTGTCAGGAGGGGCTGTGTCTCTGCAGGTCCAGGAGTCATGAGGGGCTGCGTCTGTGCAGGTGCAGGTGTCATGAGGGGCTGCGTCTCTGCAGGTGTCATGAGGGGCTGCGTCTCTGCAGGTGCAGGAGTCACGAGGGGCTGCGTCTCTGCAGGTTCAGGAGTCACGAGGGGCTGCGTCTCTGCAGGTGCAGGTGTCATGAGGGGCTGCGTCTGCAGGAGTCACAAGGGTCTGCATCTCTGCAGGTGCAGGAGTCACGAGGGGCTGCATCTCTGCAGGTGCAGGAGTCCCGAGGGGCTGCGTCTCTGCAGGTGTCATGAGGGGCTGCATCTGCAGGAGTCACGAGGGGCTGCGTCTCTGCAGGTGCAGGAGTCATGAGGGGCTGCGTCTCTGCAGGTGTCATGAGGGGCTGCGTCTGCAGGAGTCACGAGGGTCTGCATCTCTGCAGGTGCAGGAGTCACGAGGGGCTGCGTCTCTGCAGTGTCATAGGGGCTTCTTCTATGAAAGTGCAGGTGTGATGAGGGGCTGCATTTATGCAGGTGCAGGTGTAATAAGTGGCTGTGTCTATGCAGGTAGGTGCAAGTGTTACTAGAGGCTGTGTCTGTGGAGATGTCATGAGGGGCTGCGTCTGTGCAGGTGCAGCAGTGATGAAGGGCTTTGTGGAGGTGTGACAGGGTCCCCTCTCTGGTCCTGTCGGATGTTCGGAGCTTGGTCATGGTAGGATAGGCCAGTGTGTTGTTGAGAATTTGCCACAGTCAGGTCACTAGAGAAGGAGGCCACGCTCACGTCATGATGGGCCCTCGTGTGGACTGTCCACTTGTCCCCAGAAGTGCTGAGCTCACTCCCCTTGTTCACAGGTCCCTGAGGCTGCTTCTGAAATGGCCTGCAGAGGACTTTCTCTTGGAATTCTCAGAGACCAAAGAGCTTTGTCGATTGTAGGTGAGTTTGAGAACGCCCAGAGTTCATTAGGCATGAAGCCAGCATCTAAAATCTGTGGTCAAGCAGAGACCAGTGGTGACTTTTCTAAGTAATGAGGCTCCCTCAAGTGGCTCCAAAGTCACTTCCAAAGAAGGAGTTTGAGGAGGATCCAGCTGTGGGTGGTCCTGCCCAGCAGGTGGGGGGCTCTCGGCAGCATTTGGGAACAGTGGCGATTTGAGGCTGGTTATAGTTGGCGGGGCACCGCCATTCTTGTCAGGGTTTCTGGTTGGGCCGTGACTCTGGCTGACTTCCCAGGCCGTCCACGCCAAATTTCTCAGACTCAGCAGGGCTCATTCAGGGAGAGCCATCTCAGATGTTGGGAACGTGGATTTTTTATCATGTCCAGATAGTAGCCTTGTCTCTGGAAGGGAGGAAACATGATGTTTTAACATAGCAGCTTTGGTTACTAGCGGAAATTTGGGCGGCACGCATCTAGTGTGGTTCTGGGCAGTCTGATCCTGTGCGAGCTCTGGGATGCTGGCACCAGCTGTTGGGAAGCTCTGTTCTGCTGCTGGCATCTCAGCCTTTTAGTTACTAAACTGGGGTCTTACATGCTTGTCAGTTTCATGGTTTCCCTTATTCTGATTTCTTGTCTCTTGTTTTGGAAGATCTTGGTGTTTGTTATTGTCAGAGGTAGAATCGACTCAATGGAGATAAGGATTTTTCTTTTCTTTTTTTTTTTTCTGTGGTGACAGGGCCTCACTATGTTGCCCGGGCTGGTCTTGAATTCCTGGGCTCAAGCGATCCTCCCGCCTCGGCCTCCCAGAGTGCCGTTACCGGTGTCACTGACCCCAGCTTCTCTCCTCGGCAGTGTGTGTGGTCCTTCTCTGTTGACCACCGTGTCCTGCTCACCTCTGGATCCCACCTCCCAGGACATGGGTGGGGGTCTTTGCTGGGTTCCCACTGTTCTTTCACCATGAAACCTATTTGTTCCAGGAACTGCTGCTGGAGTTTGAATTGAAAATGCAGAAGAGGGAGCACGAATTCCGTCTGCAGACTGACAACATGAGCAACACAGCCTTGTCCCAGGAGCTCAAGGTAACTGGGGACACCCTTGGGTCTTGAAGGTTTTTTGGTTTTTCCTTGGTCAGGTGTGGTAGCTCACACCTGTAATCCCAGCACGTTGGGAGGCCAAGGCAAGAGGATCTCTTGGGCCCAGGAGTTCCAGACCGGCAAGCAGGTGGGCCATGTGGATGCCCTGTGCCCCATGGCAGGGTGGGCACTCCCATCAAAGGTGGGCGCTGGGTGCCAGTTCACCGCCGCCCCCATCTGCTGTGTAAGTCGGTCACAGCCCTGGACACCTGCCCATGGTGGGCATCATAATACGCAGATCAGTAGGGAAAGCAAAAGCTAAGTCTCAACGCCTGCCAGGCCGGGTGCAGCTCAGGCCGGGTGCAGCCCGGTCCTCATGTCGGCTGACTTGGGTGCAGCAGCCATCGTCACCACCCGTGGCTTACAGGCTGGGAAACAGGCCTGGGAAGGTACCGAAGAGCTCAGTGTGCAGCTGGGACTCCAGTGGCTTGCTCAGCACTGAGCCCCTTCCTAGACCCCTGGCTTTGTGTTTAATTTCCTTGTTTAAATAACATGCAAATTATGTGCTAAGAAATGAATTGCAGTTAAATTGGTCTGTTGGGCTTGGACCAATTAGGGTATTAGGGCACCCTAATGGACTGATTTTGGTGGGGTACTGAGTGTTGTCAGGGGGTCAGTGAAGGCCAGGCGCGGTGGCTCACACCTGTAATCCCAGCACGTTGGGAGGCTGAGGCAGGTGGATCACCTGAGGTCAGGAGTTCGAGACCAGCCTGGCCAACATGGGGAAACCCTGTCTCTACTAAAAATACAAAAGTTAGCTGGGTGTGATGGTGGGTGCCTGTAATCCCAGCTACTCATGAGGCTAAGGCAGGAGAATTGCTTGAAACCAGGAAGGGGAGGTTGTAGTGAGCCGAGATCGCGCCATTGCACTCCAGCCTGGGCAACAGAGCGAGACTCTGTCTCAAAAAAAAAAAAAAAAAAGTCATTGAGTCTCATTTGAGTTGTGTTAGGACATTCTCACTCTTTTACTGCTTCTTTGCTTCTTGAATTTTCATTTTTCTTCTCCCTCCCAATCCTGATAAAATGGCAATATGTACCCCTAATGCCTGAGTGTCTTCTAATTATCACCTCATTTTGAACTCTTTTTTATCATTCAAAGGTTAAACTACTGCACAAAGAGCTGGAGGTTCTGAAGGAGGCCGGGGCAAAGGCTGCAGAGAGTCTACAGAGGGCAGAGGACACCAACGCCGAGCTGGAGAGGAAGCTCCAGAGTCGAGCCGCGGAGCTCCGGGACCTGGAGGCCATGAACTGCGCCCGGTGCGCGAGTCCTTCATCTCCTGAGGCCTGCTCTGTGGCAGCCTTGCTGGCCGGGACCAGAGTCTGGGGGATTCTACCTTTTCTGCTCATTCCAGGCTGGCCTTTGCTTTCATCTCACTTGCTCCTTCCACAAATATTTGTTTCTTTTCAGGGTAAAGGACTTAGAGGATAAACTTCACTCTGTGCAGCTAACCAGGAAGAAGGAAGAGGAAACATTTAAGAGGAAGTGAGTGTTTCGCCTCCCAACATCGTGCTGCATGTCAGTCCTCCCAGGAGAGGAGGGAAGTGGAACCACTGTGCCGATGCCCAGGGAGCAGAGGGTCCCACTCCAGGGTTGGGGCCTGGGAGCCTGCTGCTTTGCATTTCTCTGTTTCTCTTTCTTTTCTTTTCTTTTCTTTCTTTCCTTTCCTTCCTTCCTTCCTTCCTTCCTTCCTTCCTTCCTTCCTTCCTTCCTTCCTTCCTTCCTTCCTTCCTTCCTTCCTACCTTCCTTCTCTCTTTCTCTCTCTCTTTCTTCTTTCTTTTCCTTTCTTCCTTCCTTCTTTTCTTTTCTTTCTTTTTCTTTCTTTCTTTCTTTTTTTTTTTGAGAAGAGTCTTGCTCTGTGCCCAGGCTGGATTGCTGTGGTATGATCTTGGCTCACTGCAGCCTCCCCACCAACTCCCGGGTTCAAACAATTCTCGTGTCTGAGCCTCCCAAGTAACTGGTACTATAGGCGTGCACCACCATGCCTGGCTAATTTTTGCATTTTTAGTAGAGACAGGGTCTCACCATGTTGGCCAGGCTGGGCTTGGACTCTTAGCCTGAAATGACCCACCCACCTCCTTGGCCTCCCAAAATGCTGTGATTATAGGCATGAGCCACCACACTCAGCCTTGTTTTGGATTTCTGTTTATGCCCTGCTTTGGACTTTTTCAGTGGTGTTTAGACTTCTTAGTGCTGTAAAATGTAAAACTTGGACTAGGTGCAGTGGGAAGCTCATCTGAGCCCAGGAGATTGAGGCTGCAGTGAGCCATGATTGTGCCACTGTACTCCAGCCTGGGCCACAGAATGAGACCCTGTCTCAAAAACAAAACAAGCAAGACAAAACACACAATTTTTAATACCTGGCCAGGCGCGGTGGCTCAGGCCTGTAACCCCAGCATGTTGGGAGGCCGAGGCGGGTGGATCACTTGAGGTCAGGAATTCGAGACCAGCCTGACCAACATACGTGGTAAAACCCCGTCTCTACTAAAAATACAAAAATTAGCTGGGCATGGTGGTGCATGCCTGCAATCCCAGCTACTCAGGAGGCTGAGGCAGGGAATCTCTTGAACCCGGGAGGTGGAGGTTGCAGTGAGCCAAGACCACGCCGCTGCACTCCAGCCTGGTGACAGAGCGAGACTCCCTATCAAAAAATCAAAAAATAAAAAATAAATAAATTAATTAACACCTAAGTTAGACGTTAACTTTTAAAACTTCAAGGCTTTACTTACTAACGAGTTAATCAGTTTTAGATTGTAGCCATTCTACTTTGGTGATACAGTAACCTTTATTTTTTAAACTATTGTGGGAAAAGAATTTTCTTCCCTTGGATCTATAACCATCAAGTTCTAAAGAGCCCTTTTCCTGTTGAAATGGTTTTTATTGGGCCAGGAGCGGTGACTCACGCCTGTAATCCCAGCACTTTGAGAGGCCGAGGCGGGTGGATCACAAGGTTGGGAGATCGAGACCATCCTGGCTAACACGGTGAAACCCCTTCTCTACTAAAAATACAAAAAAAAAAAAAATTAGCCGGGTGTAGTGGCGGGCGCCTGCAGTCCCAGCTTCTCGGGAGGCTGAGGCAGGAGAATGGCGTGAGCCTGGGAGGCGGAGCTTGCAGTGAGCCGAGATCTGCCACTGCACTGCAGCCTGGGCAACAGAGCGAGACTCCATCTCAAAAAAAAAAAAAGAAATGGTTTTTGTTACTCAGTGTGGGTCATGTGACCCGAGGCAGAGCAGCAGCAGGTTCTCCGTGTGCCTGGCATTGCCGGGTATCATGGGATGCCAGAAAGTAGCCATCACGGTGGTCCCGGGGCAGTGGCCCTGGCGAAGCAGTTGGAGAATCCACCTTACAAGCTGAAAGGCAGTGAGGTCAAGACGGGATGGAGCCAGGCAGGCTCCGAGAGGGACAGGGCCGGGTGGGGCAGCTTTGCTCAGGAGGGGAGCTCAGGCCATGGGGTCTGGTAGGGGAGGTCAGTGAGTTCAGCTGGGAGGATCCTGGGCCTGGGGGCCTTCAGTGGGACCCCATGAACCCGCACAGGGGCAGCCTCTGTGTCAGCTCCCGCAGGTCATTTCCTTTTTCTTTTCTGAAGAAACGTTGTGACTATAAATAAAAAACAGATAGGCTGCTTAGGAAGATACTGTGTAATCACAACGGGTGATGGACAGTGACTCAGGTGAATTTTCTTGCATCTTTTATTGACATGATATTAGTGCAATTTGTATAAATCGAGAAGAACTTCAAGGACACTGTCTTTGCTATTTCTAATCAGATCTGCAGTGGGAAGCTGCTTTCCAGCCTGCTGTGCAGACCCTACTGGTGGTGGTGAGAGAGGGTTGTGCCCTCATCTGGCTCGCGTTGTGAGGGCACCCATCAGGGTTCTCATACCTAGATGAGGAAACCAAGGCAGGGTTGAGCCCAGACAGACACAGAGCAGGTGGCAGTGGTGCGGGACTGCTTGCTTAGCTGCACCGTGGCCATGACGAAGCTGGACAGACACTTTCTCTTCGTGTGTTTTTAAGTCTACACCTAGCGTATTTTAAAATCACAACTTGAAATACAGTTGTTCCTTAAACAATGAGGGGGTTAGGAGCATCTAGCCCCATGCAGTCAAAAATTCACATATAACTTTTCACTCCCCAAAAACTTAACTACTAAGAACCTACTGTTGACCAGAAGCCTTACTGATAATACGGTTGATTAACACACATTGGGCATGTTATGTGTATTCTATGCTGATTCTTAAAGTAATGTTAGCTAGAGGAAAGAAAATGTCATTAAGAAAATCTCACAGCACTTTGGGAAGTCGAGTCAGGGGGATCACTTGAAGTCAGGAGTTCGAGACCAGCCTGACCAACATGGTGAAACCCCGTCTCTATGAAAAATACAAAATTGGCCGGGCATGGTGGTGCACGCCTGTAATCCGAGGGAGACCGAGGCAGGAGAATCGCTTGAACCCAGGAGGTGGAGATTGCAGTGACCCAAAATGGCACGCCACTGCACTGCAGCCTGGGTGACAGAGTGAGACTCCATCTCAAAAAAAAGAAAAAAAACAGGAAATCATAAGAGGCCAGGCACAGTGGCTCATGCCTGTAATCCCCACACTTTGGAGGCTGAGGCAGATGGATCGCTTTATGTCGGAAGTTCGAGACCAGCCTGGTCAACATGGTGAAACCCGTCTCTACTAAAAATATAAAATTAGCTGGGCATGGTGGTACACACCTGTAATCCCAGCTACTTGGCAGGCTGAGGCAGGAGAATCACTTGAACTCGGGAGGTGGAGGTTTCACTGAGCCGAGATCGCGCCACTGCACTCCAGCCTGGGTGACAGAGTGAGACTCCGTCTCAAAAAAAAAAAGAAGAAAAAAGAAAGTAATAAAAAAGTAGAAGTTGGTTGGGCACTGTGGCTCACACTTTTAATCCTGGTACTTTGGGAGGGCAAGGCAGGTGGCTTGCATCAGCTTGGGAGTTCAAGACCAGCCTAGGCAATATGGCAAAACCCCTTCTCTACAAAAAATACAAAAAATTAGCCAGGTGTGATGGCTTACACCTGTAGTCCAGCTACTAGGGGGGTTGAGGCAGGAGGATCACTTGAATCTGGGAGGTCGAGCCTGCAGTGAGCCAAGATGGTGCCACAGCACTCTAGCCTGGGTGACAAAGTGAGACCCTGTCTAAAAAGAAATCTTAGAAAATATGTTTACTGTTTGTTAAGTGGAAGCGTATCATCTTTTTCTTTTTTGAGATGGAGTCTCGCTCTGTCGCCTGGGCTGGAGTACAGTGGCCGGATCTCAGCTCACTGCAAGCTCCGCCTCCTGGGTTTACGCCATTCTCCTGCCTCAGCCTCCCAAGTAGCTGGGACTACAGGCGCCCGCCACCTCGCCCGGCTAGTTTTTTGTATTTTTTAGTAGAGACGGGGTTTCACCATGTTAGCCAGGATGGTCTCGATCTCCTGACCTCATGATCCACCCGTCTGGGCCTCCCAAAGTGCTGGGATTACAGGCTTGAGCCACCCTGACCGGCCAAAGCGGATCATCTTATAGCTCTTCATCCTCATCATCTTCACATTGAGGAGGTTGAGGAGGAGGAGGCAGGGGAGGGGCTGTCTCTGGAGTGACAGAGGTAGAGGAGGTGGAAGGGAGGGCAGCAGAGGCAGGCACCCTTGGTGTAACTTGACAGAAATACATTGTAATTCCATCTGACTTTTTTACTTTTTCCTTTCTCTAAAAAGGTTTCTATACAGTGCCAATCCCACTTTCACACTTGAGTCTCAGTGCCCATGTCATAGACAGTTCCACGTGGTAAAAAATCAAGGCAGGCATGAGTGGTGGGAGCCCTTCTGCAGGAGTGTCTGTCTGATGTCAGTTTGTTTTCTGGCACTGCTTCTACATCTGTTTCCTCGTCTGGCACCGGTTCGGAAACACTCGTCCCCATTGAGTTGTCTCCCGTTCATTCCTCTGCTGTGGGGTCAGCTCTGGAGTTTCTCCAAGATCCATGCTGTGAAATCCTTCACCCCGCACCCTGACCTTTTTTTTTTTTGGCCATATTGCAATTGATCTCATGATTTGCTTGATCGGCACCATTGGACATCCTGTGAAGTCAGGCACGACATCTAGACACAGCTTTCTTCATCAGGAATTTATTATTTGGGGCTTGATGGCTTCCGTGGCTTTTTCTATAGCAGCGATGGCTTCAGTGGTGGAAACCCGCCAGGCTTTCAGGGTGTTCTTCTCTCTGTGGGGTTTTCGGCCGCAGCGTTGACATCCTCTCCAAAGAGCGCCATGTGTGGTGAGCCTTAAGTTCCGTATGGCCTCTGATAAAGGCTAAATTAGAGGCATTGTGTCTGGGGGCAAGCAGACGATGTCGACGCCTTGCTGTTGAACTCATGGGTTCTGGGTGGCAAGAGGCATTGTCCATTATCAAAATAACTTTTTGGAGACAGCCTCTCTGCTGCCCAGGCAAATGGTGCAGTGATGCAGTCTCAGCTCACTGCAGCCTCCGCCTCCGGCGTTCAAGTGATCCTCGTGCCTCAGCCTCCCAAGTAGCTGGGAGTACAGATGTGCACCACTACACTTGGCTAATTTTTGTATTTTTAGCAGAGATGGAGTTCGCCATGCTGGCCAGGCTGGTCTCAAACTCTTGTCCTCAAGTGGTCCAGGCACCTCGGCCTCCCAAAGTGCTGGGATTACAGGGGCGAGCCACCACACACACACTGGATTAATGTGTTTTAGAACGTCCAGCAGCTGTAGACCTGTCTTGTAAATGCATGACTTTCCTCTGCTCACTTCCAGCATCACGGGTGGCCCTTTGCATAGATCCCATGGTGTTATTGAAGGTTTACAGTATTACTAAACACAGTGAGAAATAGGTAAGAACCTTGACATGTCGCTCTATACTGGGATGTGAAGAACCTTGAGATGTCGCTCTATACTGGGGTGTGAAGAACCTTGAGATGTCGCTCTATACTGGGGTGTGAAGAACCTTGAGATGTCGCTCTATACTGGGGTGTGAAGAACCTTGAGATGTCGCTCTATACTGGGATATGAAGAACCTTGAGATGTCGCTCTATACTGGGGTGTGAAGAACCTTGAGATGTCGCTCTATACTGGGGTGTGAAGAACCTTGAGATGTCGCTCTATACTGGGGTGTGAAGAACCTTGAGATGTCGCTCTATACTGGGGTGTGAAGAACCTTGAGATGTCGCTCTATACTGGGATGTGCAGTTTACTGGAGAGACAGACTGCTCACATGGAGATGATTAGTGTCTCATTTTTTTTTTTTTTTTTTTTTTGAGATAGAGTTTCGCTCTTATCACCCAGGCTGGAATGCAGTGGCACGATCTCAGCTCACTACAACCTTCGCCTCCCGAGTTCAAGTGATTATCCTGCCTCAGCCTCCCCAGTAGCTGGGATTACAGGTGCGCACCACCACGCCAGGCTAATTTTTGTATTTTTAGTAGAGACGGGGTTTCTCCATGTTTGACAGGCTGGTCTCGAACTCGCGACCTCAGTTGATCCGCCTGCCTTGGCCTCCCAAAGTGCCACCATGCCCGGCCGTGTCACATGGTGTTTTAAGCAGATACTGGAAACACTTGAGCTCGCCATAATAGCAGGAAATGCAGTGGCTATGAAATGACCACCGCGATGTGGTTCAGACTGAGTTAACTGTGTGCAGTTGTTTAATAGTGCATCTTCTGTTTGTTTACATTTTCCTGGACTGCAAATAGCCCAGTGTGAGGTCTGTGAGTGTTTGTGTGTGTACATTTTGATACATTTTGATATATTTTAACTTTTAAAAATAGATTTGTGTATATTTTATGGTAGTAAATGATAAAATTAGTATATATATTTTATGGTTTCATGACAATTTAACTTTTTCAATATTTTAGGGTACATAGTCTAAGAACTTTTTCAAATTGTCACAAAACTCCAAAACCATTTTTCCAATATATGTATTGAAAATAATTCTTGTATAAATGGATCCCTGCAGTTCAAACTCCTGTTGTTCAAGGGTTAACTATTGTTGAAAATGAGTGTAATTTCTAGCATTAATAAATAAAACTGTTCAGTCACTCTTTAAAATATTTATTTTTAGGTTGGGCGCAGTGGCTTATGCCTGTAATCCCAGCTCTTTGGGAGGCCAAGGCAGGTGTATCACAAGGTCAGGAGATGGAGACCATTCTGGTTAACGTGGTGAAACCCCGTCTCTACTAAAAATACAAAAATTAGCCTGGCGTAGTGGTGTGTGCCTGTAATCCCAGCTACTCGGGAGGATGAGGCATGAGAACTGCTTGAACCCGGGAGGCGGAGGTTGCAGTGAGCTGAAATCATGCCACTGCACTCCAGCCTAGGTGACAGAGCAAGATTCTGTCTCAAAAAATAAATAAAATATTTATTTTTAAAAATTAAAATAATTTTCCTTATTTCTCAGCTCCAACTACTCCTACGTTAGAATGTTTCTAATGTAGGCGGGACACAGTGGCTTACACTTGTAATCGCAGCACTTTCGGAGGCCGAGGCAGGAGAATCCCTTGAGCTCGGGAGTTTGAGACCAGCCTGGGCAACATAGGGAGATCCCGTCTCTACAAATAATTTTTTTAAGAATTAGCTGGGTGTGGTGGTACACTTATGTGGTCCCAGCTACTTGGGAGGCTGAGGCAGGAGGATCACCTGAGCATAGGAGGTCAAGGTTGCAGTGAGCCAAGTTCACACCAGTGCATTTCAGCTTAGGTAACAGTGAGACTCAAAAAAAAAAAATAAATAAATTCTAATCTAAATACCATAGTGATTTAATACCCACTAACAAGGCCGGTGGCTCACTCCTGTAATTCCAGCGCTTTGGGAGGCCAAGGCAAGTGGATCACTTAAGGTCAAGAGTTCGAGACCAGCCTGGCCAACATAGTGAAGTCTCTACTAAAGAGACAGACTGCATCTGAAAAACAAAAACAAAACACCACTATCACTGATTTCAGAAAACTACCTGAACCAGCCTTGCTGTAGCCGTCAGAAAATTTACATCATTCCTTTTTCCCCTTGAACTATTTCCATCCCTCTTCCCCACAGAATCTTATACGAATATATTTTTTGTGTTTGAATACATTTGAAGTCAATCATCTGTAACAACAAAACAGTCATATAAATTATATGATATAGTATATACTAGATATGGTCATATAAACTAAAAATAAAATTTGCTGGGGTCACAAGGCTCCAAGTGTTCAGAAAGGCTTTTAATTAAGATACTCTTGTAATTATTGGTATACATGTGCTAAAACAATACAAGATGCCATAAAATTCAGTAATCGTTAAGTAAAATGTAAAATGTTCTTGGGAAGGCTCCTTCTACTGAGACCTGTGGGGCTTCCCCCAGGTCAGTTCGTAAGAGCCTGACCCTCACATGCACGATCAGACGGGACTGGAGCCACTTCCGGCAACACCACACGTGCTCTGAACTACTTCCAAGCTATATGCCAACGACCACCTGGTGACTTCCCCTCAAGAATTATTTTATTTTATTTGTATTTTATTTGTATGTATGTATTTATTTTGAGATGGAGTCTCGCTCTGTCACCCAGGCTGGAGTGCAGTGGTACGATCTCGGCTCACTGCAACCTCCGCCTCCTGGATTCAAGCAATTCTCCTGCCTCAGCCTCCCAAGTAGCTGGGGTTACAGGCATGTGCCACCACGCCCGGCTAATTTCTTTGTATTTTTAGTAGGACGGGGTTTCACCATATTGGCCAGGCTGGTCTTGAACTCCTGATCTCATGATCCACCTGCTTCAGCCTCCCAAAGTGCTGGGATTATAGGAGTGAGCCACTGTGCCCAGCCTACTTATTTATTTTGAAACAGAGTCTCTTTTGCCCAGGCTGGAGTGCAGTGGTGCGATCTCGGGTCACTGCAACCCCTGCCTCCTAGGTTTAAGCGATTTTCCTGCCTCAGCCTCCCGAATAGCTGGGATTACAGGGATGCACTACCATGCCTGGCTAATTTTTGAATTTTTTTTAGTGGAGACTGGGTTTCACCATGTTGGCCAGGCTGGTCTCGAACTGCTGACCTCAAGTGATCTGCCCTCCTTGGCCCCCTAAAGTGCTGGGATTACAGGCGTGAGCCACTGTGCCCAGCCAAGAATGATTTTAAATCATTCATCAGCTGATAATTGAATGAGCTTCTCCAACTTGGTGGAAGCAGAGAGCTGGGGTTGGCCTTGCCAAGGGGCCTGAAACCAGTCAGCAGAGCTGTTCACTCTCTCAGTCCCGGTAGGGTTAGATCAAAGACTCACTGAAATGGCTTCCATAACGTTATATATACCTGATGATAGCACTCTACTTAGTAGAACCTAATATGCTCAGAGGGTAGGAAACCAACACGTAAATCTTTTTTAAAATTTTTATTTATTTAGTCCTTTTGCTAATGTGGTTTGTTTTGAGACAGGGTCTCACTGTGTCACCCAGGCTGGAGACAGGGTCTCACTGTGTCACCCAGGCTGTGTCACTCAGGCTGGAGACAGGGTCTCACTGTGTCACCCAGGCTGTGTCACTCAGGCTGGAGCGCAGTGGTTTGTTTTGAGACAGGGTCTCACTGTGTTGCTCAGGCTGGAGCGCAGTGGCACCATCACGGCTCACTGCAGCCTCGACCTCCCGTACTCCAGTGGTACCTCCCACCTCAGCCCCCTGAGTAGCTGGGACTATGGGTGCCTGCCACCACAAAGGCCAATTTTTGTATTTTTCATAGAGGGTGTTTTGTCATATTGCCCATGCTGATGGTCTTCAACTCCTGAGCTTAAGCTATCCACCTACCTCGGCCTCCCAAAGTGCTTTGGTTACAGGCATGAGCCACTGTGCCCAGCTGCTAACATATTATTTTTAAAGTAAAATATTTTTGCCAGGCAAAGTGGTGTGGCCTGTAAGCCCAATTACTTGGGAAGCTGAGGTGAGAGGATTGCTTGAGTTCAAGGCCAGGCTGGGCAACACAGCAAGACTTTGCCTCTAATTGGAAAATAAATAGGCTGGGTGCGGTGTGGCTCAGTAGACCTGGCTGGCTGCCAGGATGCAAAGCAATGAGCATCTACCTTTTTTTGCTTTCACAGGTTGGTCGGGTCAAACTGTACTCTATGCACCTCCTTTTGGTGTCCTTCTCCGGGGGGCTGTGGGCTCTGGAGGGCAGGCCAGGGGCCTTGGTCCATGTTAGCCTGCAAGGAATGAGGAACAGGTGGCCAGGTGGTTGCTGCGAAGCCTTGAGGCAGACATATCGCAGCACCTGTGCACGAGGCAGGGTAATGAATGCCTCCAAAGAGGGTCTGAGGCCTGGGTGTTGGGGGCTGGATGAGCACCATGGGACGCTCACTGTTTCAGGCATGAGGAGCTCGACCGTCTGGCCAGGGAGAAGGACGCGGTGCTGGTGGCGGTGAAGGGAGCCCACGTGGAGCAGCTGCGGGAGCTGCAGGCCAGCATTCTGGAGCTGCAGGCCCACTGCGAGACCCTCGAGGCACAGCTCCGCAGGGCAGAGTGGAGGCAGGCCGACACGGCCAAGGAGAAGGATGCTGCCATTGACCGGTGAGTGTGTGCCTGGCTCCACCCAGAGGGTGAGGGCGGGGACGGCCGTGGCTGTACTGACCGGGGCCCACTGGTGCCAGACCACAGGAAAGTCGGCCAGGCAGCAGACAGGGAGTAGCTTCTGTAGCTGTCAGTCACTTTTCTTAACCAGTGTTTTCGGTTTTGTTTTTTGCCTTTATTTTTGAAATTGTGTAGTTTCTATGTATGTATGCATTCATCTGTTTATAGTAAGATATGCATAACATAAAATTTGCCATTGTAGCCATTTCTTAGTGTACAGATCAGTGGCAGTGGCATTAGGCACATTCACATTGTTGTGAAACCATCACCACTGTCATCTCCAGAACTTTCCATCTTCCCAGTACACACCAATGCCTCCCTGACCCCCGCCAGCTCCCGCCAACCCCCGCCAGCTCCCCGCCAACCCCCGCCAGCTCCCCACGAGCCCCGCCCACCCCTGGCCACCTCCATTCTACTTGCTGCCTCTATGGATGCAACCAGGCTGGGGACCTCCTGTAAATGGGAATCATGCAGTATTTGTCCTTTTGGGACTTGCTTATTTCACTTGGCATAATGTCCTCAAAGTTTGCCCACATTTTAACATGTGTCAGAATTTCATTCCTTTTCTCTGAATTTTTAAATTGTGGTAAAATACACATAACATAAAATTTATTATCATTTATTTCTTTTCTTTTTCTTTTCTTTCTACTTGACTTTTTTTTTTTTTTCTTTTTTTTTTTGAGACGGAGTCTGGCTCTGTTACCTAGGCTGGAGCGCAGTGGCGCAATCTCAGCTCACTGCAACTTCTGCCTCTCAGGTTCAAGCAGTTCTCTTACCTCAGCCTCCTGAGTAGCTGGGATTATAGGCGTGTACCACCACACCCAGCTAATTTTTGTATTTTTAGTAGAGACGGGTTTTCTCCATGTTGACCAGGGTGGTCTCGAACTCCTGACCTCAGATGATCCACCTGCCTCCGCCTCCCAAAGTGCTGGGATTACAGACATAAGACTGTGCCCAGCCTTATCTTGACCATTTTAAAGTATACAGTTTAGTGGCATTAAGTCTGAATTTCCTTCCTTTTTTTTTTTTCTTTGAAACGGAGTCTCGCTCTGTCGCCCAGGCTGGAGTACAGTGGTGCGATCTCGGCTCACTGCAAGCTCTGCCTCCCGGGTTCACGCCATTCTCCTGCCTCAGCCTCCCAAGTAGCTGGGACTACAGGCGCCCACCACCGCGCCTGGCTAATTTTTTTGTATTTTTTTTTAGTGGAGACAGGGTTTCACCGTGTTAGCCAGGATGGTTAACCTGGTGATCTCCTGACTTCGTGATCCACCCGCCTCGGCCTCCTACAGTGCTGGGATTACAGGTGTGAGCCACTGCGCCCGGCCGAATTTCCTTCCTTTTTAAGGCTGAGCCATATTCCATTGTCTGGATGGACCACGTTCTGTTTATTCGTCCATCCATTGATAGACGTGTGAGTTGTTTCTATCTTTTGGCTCTTAAGAGTAATACTGCCATGAGCCTCGGTTACAAATTTATCTTTGAGACTGTGCTTCCCGTTCTTCTGTGCACAGATGCAGAGTGGAATTTCTGGGTCATCTAATACTGTGTTTAGCTTTTGAGGAGCCACATTTCTGCTTTGCAGTGGCTGCACCACATTCCCACCAGCAGCCCAAGCATTCACTCATTCATTAGTTCCTTTTTTGTTTCGATTTTGTTTTTCTGAGACGGAGTCTCACTCTGTCGCCCAGGCTGGAGTGCTGTGGTGTGATCTCAGCTCACTGCAACCTCCGCCTCCTGAGTTCAAGCAATTCTCCTGCCTCTGCCTCCCGAGTAGCTGGGATTATAGGTGCACGCCACCACGCCTGGCCAATTTTTGTATTTTTGGTAGGGACAGGGTTTCACCATGTTGACCAGGTTGGTCTCAAACTCCTGACCTCGGGTGATCCACCCGCCTTGGCCTCCCAAAGTGCTGGGATTACAGGCGTGAGTCAGCTCGCCCAGCCACTAGTTTCTTTTTAAATCCCGTTTCCTTTCTAGTGTCTAAGCCAGGCCAGGGCATATGGTCAGCCCTGTTCCACCTGTGCCTGGTGTGCAGGGTGAGATGCATACAAGCTACACCACTGCAGCCACGGTGAAGTGCTTAGCACTAAGTTCCAGTCTCCAGACGTGATCCATGGAGAAGCTGTATTTACTGAAGACACTTAAGATGAGTCATTTTCTAGTATTTACCACACTCAGCCACTGGCTTTTTCTCTTTGTTTAGGAAAATTCCCATCACTTTTTTTTTTACAGAGAATTTTCTCTGCTTTTTGTTTTTCTTTTTCTTTCTTTTTTTTTTTTGAGACGGAGTCTTGCTCTGTCACCAGGCTGGAGTGCAGTGGTGTGATCTCAGCTCACGGCAACCTCCACCTTCCAGGTTCAAGTGATTCTTCTGCCTCAGCCTCCCAGGTAGCTGGGACTACAGGCATGCGCCACCATGCCTGGCTAATTTTTTGTATTTTAGTAGAGATGGGGTTTCACCACGTTGACCAAGATGGTCTCCATCTCCTGACCTTGTGATCTGCCCACCTCAGCCTCCCAAAGTGCTGGGGTTACAGACATGAGCCACTGCAACCGGCCTCTTTTTCTTTTTTTTGAGACAGGGTCTTACTCTGTTGCCTAGGCTGGAGTGCAGTGGTGTGATCACAGCTTGCTGTAGCCTTGACCTCATGGGCTCAAGTGATCCTCCCGCCTCAGCCTCCTCAGTAGCTGGAACTACAGGTGTGCGCCACCAAGACCAGCTAATTTTTGTATTTTTTGTAGAAACAGGGTTTCTCCATGTTGCCTAAACTGGTTTCAAACTCCTGGACCCAAGTGATCCTCCCACATTGGCCTCCCAAAGTGCTGGGATTACAGGCGTGAGCCACCACCGACAGAATTCTCTGTCAAATCGTATTCCTGTTTAAGGGGGAAATGGCTCTTAGAACTACACAGTACCGGGAAGTTAAGGGCTTATTCAGGATAGTTTCTCTCGACTCAGCATGCTGTTTTGTTGTTTGATCGGTCAGATTCAAGCAGAGTTGTTGAAGCTGCCACGCATGGGGGGCACCTGAAGCCTCTGCGGTCGGTGTGTGAGGTGAGAGGGGCCGAGGTGACCAGGCCTCACCACTCCTGTGCGCCTAACCTTGGCCTCCCCTTGCAGCCTTAAGCTAAATGTTGTTCTTGATTGTCTTTTTGTTTTCTGTCCATAAATACTCTTTGCTCATTGAGAATTATTGCTACACATATGCAGTATTATTTTGGCAGTAAGAAACAAACTTCTACATTCTAAAGCTTATATCTTTCCTCTTTTACTTCTGGGGAGTTCAGTTGTCATTCTGATCCCATGATCCCAAGTATGAGTTAGCATTAAGTGATGACCTCGGCTGGGCACAGTGGCTCACACCTCTAATCCCAGCACTTTGGGAGGCCGAGGCAGGAGGATCACTTGAGCCTGGGCAACAGAACAAGACCCTATGTCTACCCCAAAAAAATTAGACAGGTACAGTGGCGCTCACCTATGGTCCTAGCTACTCAGGAGGCAGAGCAAGACTCTGTCTCTAAAAAAATAATTTTTTAAATTAAAAAAATAGAAATAAGTGACAGCCTTATTCATTTCAGTTCCTTTGTTTCTTTTTAAAAATAAAACAGAGATGGAGTCTCCCCATGTTGCCCAGGACGGTCTCAAACTCCTGGACCTCAGTGATCCTCCCCACTCAGCCCCCAAAGTGCTGGGATTGTAGGCGTGAGCCACTGTGCCTGGCTAGCTTTGTGGTTCTTAATGGGTTTTTCAGTAGTTTTGTGCTGGGTTGGAGTTTGGAACTACAGAGAAAGCCTGTAGGATTAACATGAAAGCATTTTTTTCTTCCTTTTTTTTTTTTGGTGACAAGGTCTCACTCTGTCTTCCAGGCTGGAGTGCAGTAGCATGATCTCGGTTCACCGCAGCCTACACCTCCTGGGCTTAGGTGATCCTCCCCGCTCAGCCTCCCAGGTGGCTGGGACTACAAGTGCGTGCCACAACACCCGGCTAATTTTTGTATTTTGAGTAGAGGCAGGATTTAGCCATGTTGCCCAGGCAGGTCTCGAACTCCTGGACCTCAAGCAATCTGCCTGCATCGGCCTCCCAAAGTGCTGGCATTATAGGCATGAGCCCACCATGCCCAGTCTTCTTTTTTTATTTTAACCATCCCATTACACAGAAGAAAGAGAAGGCGTTGCATTCTGTCGCCCAGGCTGGAGTGCAGCAGTGCGATCATGGCTCACTGCAGCCTCGACCTCCTGGGCTCAAGTGATCCTCCCACCTTGGCCTCTCCCAAAAAGCATTTTCACTCTTGTGGTGAGCGGTGCCCTTCCACTCGTGCTCGTGGTGTCCTCTGTCCCTGCAGTGAGGGCTCAGCGGCCGTGCCCATTCGTCTACACCTGAGACTGTGCAGCGGGGAGGCCCCAGGCAGAGTCACATCACCGTCCTGATGCTGGGAGTGGGGCCGGCCCTCGTCATTAGGTGGCTCATGGTCCGGGGATAAAGCTGCTTCCCAGAGCACCAGAGGCCGCTGGTGAGTCTGTTTCTTCAGTGCCCACGCACCGCGTGGAAGGAGCCCAGACGCACACTCTGTGTCAGCCCAAGTTGCCAGAGATGACTGGAAATGTTGGTGCCTTTGATGGTGTCTCTTTTCAGCCGTGCTAAAATATGTGTCCAAAACTGGTGGCTTTTTTTTTCCATTCTATATAACACCAGGCTTGAATGCACCACTCATGCTGGGTTTAACCGACCCCTTGTGACAAGGGGTGGTCTCTGTGGGGGCAGCCAGCTCACCCTCTGCTTCTCACTGTCAGTCGGAAGTTCGTCAGCGCAGGAGCATCTGAAGTCTGTTGTGTGTCATGTTATAGTTGCTTTTGTGAGCCATCTACCCCGTCTTTTAGGGAAATAGGCCTACGCCCATGCAAGTGGGCAGGTGTCATCTTGCCTAGGTTAGTACCGTGGCTACCTGAGTTAACAGCTCTAGATATTGTCCCGAACATTTTCTTGGGAAATTTATTCAATTTTGGGTAATTCTCCCAGAGGCGTCCTGCTGTTAAGGTTGTTTAATGGGTTCTATAGGACCTTATTTTACTGTGCAATTTGAAAATGTGTTGAATGTCTCTGCACATGGGGTGCTGTGCTAGGCATGGCGAGGACACGCGGGTGAGTTGGTCAGAGGTGGTGCTACCTCGTGACTGTGGTCTCTGTGGGCATGGGAGGCATGTCATGCCTCACCTTCCCCACACCAAGAACCTGGCACATGGCCTGGTGTGCTGCAGGAGCTCAGCTGGAATCTGGGCTGGTGGGATGCATGCAGGCATGGAGGCAGTTGGGTGGACGGATGCTTTACTTCTTCCTGTGCAGAACCATCTCCACCATCTCCATCATCTAGGCCAGGAAGTTTCAGCTCTGATGTGGATTTCCTCTGAGAGCTGGGTGTGTGTGTGTGTGTGTGTGTGTGTTTGCTGGGAGTGCTGTGTGAGAGACAACTTGAGTGAGTGAGAACCACATCTACATAGTTTCCCTTCCATGTTTAGACTTCGTGAAGATGCGTCAACTGTAAAATCTGCCTGGGATGCTCAGATTGCTCAACTGTCTAAGGAGATGGTCTCCAAAGACCTTCAGATTCAGACACTGCAGGAAGAAGAGGTGAAGCTCAAGGCACAGGTGGCCCGATCCCAGCAGGACATTGAAAGGTAACTGTCCCCAGGCAGTTATTTCCATTTAGTGTCTCCTATGGGCGGGTGCTGTTGTAGGTACTAAGGATTCAAAACTGAACAGATCAAGTCCCTGGCCTCACATTTTCTTGGGGGAGAAAGACAGTGAACAAGACAGATAGAATGTCTAGTCACACGGGGTGGTGTGGGAAGACACGCAGAAGGGGCCGCCAGCTGGAGGGAGCGTGGCCAGAGGACGGTGTTTCTCAGTCTGTGATAAGAGCCATAAAGGTGCTTCTGCTATTTGATCCTGCACTGAGAATCTCCTGTTGCCAGGCGTGGTGGTTCACACCTGTAATCCTGGCACTTAGGGAGGCAGAAGCAGGAGGATTGCTTGAACCCAGGAGTTGGAGACCAACCTGGTTAACATAGCGAGACCCCATCTCTGCAAAAAAGGGAAACAAAAACAAGGAATCTCCTCATCTGTCTTGTCTGATTGTTCATGTCCTCATGTTTTTCCTCCATTGGGATGAACACTTACTTGAACAAAGATAACTTCTATTTCCCATACACGTTCAACTTTATTACAGAATACATTTGCTAAAACTCATCCATTTTAACTCTACACTTGATGAATTTTGATGAATGTGTATGCTGTATGATATCATTTGGCTCTATGTCTCCCCCAAATCTCATCTCAAATTGTAATCCCTATGTGTCAAGGCAGGGCCCTGATGGGAGGTGACTGGATCATGGGGGTGGTTTCCTGCATGCTGTTCTTAGGATACTGAGTGCGTTCCGATGGTTTAAAAGTGTTTGGTGAGCCGGGTGTGATGGCTCACGCCTATAGTCCTAGCACTTTGGGAGGCTAAAGTGGGCGGATTACGGGGTCAGGAGTTCGAGACCAGCCTGGTCAACATGGTAAAACCCCGTCTCTACTAAAAATACAAAAATTAGCCAGTCATGGTGGCTCACACCTGTAGTCCCAGATACTCCAGAGGCTGAGGTGGGAGAATCACTTGAACCCAGGAGGCGGAGGTTGTGGTGAGCCCAGATCACGCCACTGCATTCCAGCCTGGGCAGCAGAGTGAGATTCTGTCTCAAAAAAATGAATAAACAAATAAAAAATAAAATATAAATAAATAAATGTTTGGGCCGGGCGCGGTGGCTCAAGCCTGTAATCCCAGCACTTTGGGAGGCCGAGACGGGCGGATCACGAGGTCAGGAGATCGAGACCATCCTGGCTAACACCGTGAAACCCCGTCTCTACTAAAAATACAAAAAACTAGCCGGGCGAGGTGGCGGGCGCCTGTAGTCCCAGCTACTCCGGAGGCTGAGGCAGGAGAATGGCGTAAACCCGGGAGGCGGAGCTTGCAGTGAGCTGAGATCCGGCCACTGCACTCCAGCCCGGGCTACAGAGCAAGACTCCGTCTCAAAAAAAAAAAAAAATAAATAAATAAATAAATAAATAAATAAATAAATGTTTGGTGGGCCGGGCGTGGTGAGCACTTTGGGAGGCTGAGGCAGGCGGATCACCTGAGGTCAGGAGTTTGAGACCAGCCTGGCCAACATGGTGAAACCCTGTCTCTACTAAAAATACAAAAATTATCCGCGTGTGGTGTCACGTGCCTGTAATCCCAGCTACTCGGGGGGCTGAGGCAGGAGAATCGCTTGAACCTGGGAAGTGGAGATTGCAATGAGCCAAAATCATGCCACTGCACTCCAGCCTGGGCGACAGAGCGAGACTCTGTCTCAAAAATAAATAAGTAAATAAATAAATAAATAAGCGTTTAGCAGCTCCCCCCACCACACTCTGTCTTTCTCCTGCCAACATGTCAGACGTGCCTTGTTTCGCCTTTGCCTTCCACCATGGTTGTAAGCGTCCTGAGGCCTCCCCAGCCATGTGGAACTGTGCGTCAATTAAACCTCTTTTGTTTATAAATTACCCAGTCTCAGGTAGTTCTTTATAGCAGGGTGAAAAAGGATGACTACGCCGTATAATCACCACTTCAGGCAAGCTATGGAATCTTCCGTCAACACACACTTCCCTCCTGCCCTCCGCAGTCAGGCCCCTGTCCCAGTGTGCTTTTTTTTTTGAGACAGAGTCCCGCTCTGTTGCCTAGGCTGGAGTGCAGTGGCACGATCTCAGCTCCCTGCAACCTCTGCCTTCCAGGTTCAAGCAGTTCTCCTGTCTCAGCCTCCCAAGTTGCTGGGACTACAGGCACATACCACCAGGCCCAGCTAATATTTTTTTGTATTTTTAGTAGAGACAGGGTTTCACCGTATTGGTCGGGCTGGTCTCAAACTCCTGACCTCAGGTGATCCACTCACCTCAGCCTCCCAAAGTGCTAGGATCACAGGTGTGAGCATCTGGCCTTTTTTTTTTTTCCTTTTTGAGATAGAGTCTTGCTCTGTCGCCCAGGCTGGAGTGCAGTGGTGCGATCTCAGCTTACTGGAACCTCCACCTCCTGGGTTCAAGCAATTCTCCTGCCTCAGCCTCCCAGAGTGCTGTGATTACAGGTGTGAGCCACTACACCTGACCTTCCTGGTAATATTCTTTTGCCCACAGTCTTCTCTGTCTGATATTAACAGGGCTGCTTGAGCTTTTTCTGCTTGTTTCCCACCCTCTGCTTTAACTTGTGCTTCATCTTTTTTTTTTTCTTGAGGTGGGATCTCACTCTGTTACCCAGGCTGGAGTGCGGCGGCACAATCAGGGCTCACGCTCACTGCAGGCTCAACCTCCCAGGCTCAACTCATACTTGCACTTCAGCCTCCCAAGTAGCTGGGACTATAGGCACATACCATCACACCCAACTAATTTTTCTATTTTTGTAGAGACAGGGTTTTACCATGTTACCCAGGCTGGTCTCAAGCTCCTGGACTCAAGCCATCCTCCTGCCTTGGCCTCTCAGAGTGTTGAGATGACAGGCGCGAGCCGCCGTGCCCGGCTTGTGGGCGGCCTGTGTTTGAGTCTTCTTTTTCTAGTGTAACACTCTGCCTGTTCCTCAGGGGGTTTAGATAATTTAATTTAATGCCATTATTGATGTATTTGTATATTAGGGCTTAAATCTCCACTTACTGTTTGCTATTCTCTTCATTTTATTTTATTTATTTATTTTTTTGAGACAAGGTCTTGCTCTGTCACCCAGGCTGGAGTGCAGTGGTGCAATCTTAGCTCACTTGCAGCCTTAACCTCCCAGGTGGGTTCAAGCGATCCTCCCACCTCAGCTTCCTGAGTAGCTGGGACTGCAAGCGTGTGCTGTGATGCCTGCTTAATTTTTTGGTATTTTTGGTAGAAACGGGGTTTCGCTTTGTTGCCCAGGCTGGTCTCGAACTCTTGGATTCAACTGATGGGCCCACCCCAGCCTCCCAAAAGTGCTGGGATTGCAGGCATGAGCCACCGTGCCCGGTCTATTTGCGTTCTATTATCCTCATCTGTTCTTTGTTTCTTTTTCTCTGCTTTTAAAAAAATCCATTGAATATATTTTAGAATTTCATTTTATTTCCAGTTTTCTTATTATATAAACCTCTTTGTCTTACGTGTTTAATGGTTGTTCTGAGATTTATAAGATATACAGTCTTTGTTTAATATTTACCACTCTATGTATAATATAAAACTCTTCAATTTCTGCTTGTGTTCAAGGAATGACCTCTGTTTCTGCTACTTCTTCCTTTTTTTTTGAGAGACGGGGTCTTGCTCTGTTGCCCAAGCTGGAGTGCAGTGGCACGATCTCGACTCACTGCAACCTCCGCCTCCTGGGTTCAGGCGATTCTCCTGCCTCAGCCTCCCAAGTAGCTGGGATTACAGGCGCCCACCATCGCACCCAGTTAATTTTTGTATTTTTAGCAGAGACGAGGTTTCACTATCTTGGGTAGGCTGGTCTCAAACTCCTGACCTCATGATCTACCCGCCTCGGCCTCCCAAAGTGCTGGGATGACAGGCGTGAGCCACCGTGCCTAGCCTCCTCTTCCTTTTTACTATGGTTTTCTTTTTTTTTTTTTTGAGACGGAGTCTCGCTCTGTCGGCCTTTTTTTTTTTTTTTTGAGACGGAGTCTTGCGCTGTTGCCCAGGCTGGAGTGCAGTGGCACGATCTCGGCTCACCGCAAGTTCCGCCTCCCGGGTTCACGCCATTCTCCTGCCTCAGCCTCCCGAGTAGTGGGACCACAGGCGCCCGCCACCTCGCCTGGCTAGTTTTTTTGTATTTTTTAGTAGAGACAGGGTTTCACCGTGTTAGCCAGGATGGTCTCGATCTCCTGACCTCATGATCCGCCCATCTCGGCCTCCCAAAGTGCTGGGATTACAGGCGTGAGCCACCGCGCCCGGCCTTACTATGGTTTTCTTATATTTTATGTAAGGGGAATCATTATATTTGCTTTGATCAGACTATCCTTTATAAAAATAAAAACGAGAAAGAAAAAGTTTTATACCTTTTCTAATATTTTTTTCTGATGTTCTTCATTTTTTACAAATCAGATGTAAGGTTTCCGCATGGTATTATTTCCCTTCAGCCTCAGCCCTTCCTTTAATATGCCTTGTGGTGCGGATGTGCTGCTCAGGAATCATCTCAGCTTTTGTTTGTCTGAAACTTTGTCTCCGTATTTTTGAGGAGCATCTTCACTAGATGAGAAATTCTAGGTTGACAATGTTTCCTTTCATAGGTGAAAGGTATTTGGTTGTGTGACTACACTCCAGCCTGGGCAATAGACCAAGACTCTGTCTAAAAAAAAAAATTACCGGTCGGGCGTGGTGGCTCACACCTGTAATCCCAGCACTTTGGGAGGCCAAGGCAGGTGGATCATTTGAGGTCAGGAATTGGAGACCAGCCTGACCAACACGGTGAAACCCCGTCTCTACTAAAAATACAAAAAATTAGCTGGGCGTGGTGGTGGGTGCCTGTAATCCCAGCTGCTCTGGAGGCTGAGGTGGGAGAATCACTTGAACCCAGGAGGTGGAGGCTACAGTGAGCCGAGATGGTGCTACTGCACTCCAGCCTGGGCGACAGAGCGAGGCTCGGTCTCAAAAAAAAAAAAAAAGGAATAGTACCAATGCTGAAATAAACATGTTGTAATAATGTTCTTAGCTCTTCCTTCCAGCATTCTTTTTTTTGTTGTTAAATACTGCCACTGACTGAAATTAAATAGTATGTATTATTATCTTCAAGAAAGCACACTTAGTTTTACGTATTACTTGTGTATGTAGAAAACGCTCATAATACAAACTAACACAGAAGAAAAGAAACGTGATAAAGTTCTCAACTTTTTTTTTTCTTTTCTTTTTTTTGAGATGGAGTCTCACTCTGTCGCCCAGGCTGGAGTGCAGTGGCACAATCTCAGCTCACTACAACCTCCACCTCCTGGGTACAAGCAGTTCTCCTGTGTCAGCCTCTAGAGTAGCTGGGATTACAGGCATGCGCCACTACACCTGGCTAATTTTTGTATTTTTAGTAGAGACGGGGTTTCACCATGTTGGCCAGGCTGGTCTTGAACTCCTGACTTCAGGTGATCCACCTGCCTTGACCTCCCAAAGTGGTGGGATGACAGGTGTGAGCCAACGCACCTGGCTTACATTCTCAACTCTTGATTCCAATGTTCCTTCTTTGTTAAACTCTTCCATTCACTGAAAGAAAACAGCACATATTGCAATAGACTTTTTTATACATTTAATTTCTCTCCTCATTGTGTGCACGGTTGCCTTTAAATCTCTGAACTTATTTTAATGACTGCTTAAATGTATTTGTCTAATTCCATCATATCTTTATTTCTGAGTCTGTTTCTATTGGCTGATTTTTCTACTGGAGAGAGCTACATTTCTTTTTTTTTTTTTTTTTGAGACGGAGTCTCGCTCTGTCGCCCAGCCCAGGCTGGAGTGCAGTGGCGCGATCTCGGCTCACTGCAAGCTCCGCCTCCCGGGTTCACGCCATTCTCCTGCCTCAGCCTCCCGAGTAGCTGGGACTACAGGCGCCCACAACCGCGCCCGGCTAATTTTTTGTATTTTTAGTAGAGACGGGGTTTCACCGTGGTCTCGATCTCCTGACCTTGTGATCCGCCCGCCTCGGCCTCCCAAAGTGCTGGGATTACAGGCGTGAGCCACCGCGCCCGGCCGAGAGCTACATTTCTTTTGTACTTCCTTGCCCATCTGGTTAAGTGTTCACTGGATGTCAGACATGGTGAATATGATGTTGGCGAGGGTCTGGATTTGGCTGTGGTGTTTTTTGTTTGGCTGCAGTTAGTATTTACGTGGCAGCTTGACCCTTTTGAGACTTTTTAAAAATTGGTGCAAGGGCAGGTGGGGCAGGTCTAGAGAAGCCTTTTCACCAGGGCTGACTCAGCACCATGACTCTCCCAGACCCCACTGCGTGCCCTGGAGAGAAAGCTCCAAGGACGCTCCGCCGGCCGCCCTGTCGAGCTCTGGGAATTAGTGCACACGGAGCTCCCTGCTGGCTGCTCCGTTCCCACGAGTTGCTCTTGGTCCAGCCCGTGTGGGCTTCTCCTGTGTATTTGCATGTGGCTGTCAGCCACAACTTCTAGGAGATCCCTGCACAGATCCCAGGATCCCCTCCTTTCTGCCACTCTGCCTCACCACTTCAACTACTTCAGCTTCTCCAAACTCCAATCTTTGTCTTCTCCTCAGCAAGAACACTGTGCTCTGTGTGGTTCACCGTCCCTGTGGGGATCCGGAACGGCCTGTGGAGAGAAGCCGGGCGGCAAGTGGGTCCATCTCGCGAGGACCTTCTCTGAGGGGCCTGGGCCCCGCACTGCTCGTGTGTTCATCGTTCACTCTGTGAAAGCCATGCCCCGTTTTCTGCCCAGTGTCCCATTTGTTTGAAGTGGGAAGATAGATGTGGTGACAGCTGCTGTGTCATGTTAAATATTTATTTATTTTTGCAGTTACAGGGATTTAAAAATGTATGTGTGGGGCCAGGCGCGTTGACTCACGCCTGTAATCCCAGCAGTTTGGGAGGCTGAGGCGGGTGGATCACGAGGTCAGGAGATCGAGACCATCCTGGCTAACACGGTGAAACCCTGTCTCTACTAAAAATACAAAAAATTAGCCGAGCGTGTTGCCAGGCACCTGTAGTCCCAGCTACTTGGGAGACTGAGTCAGGAGAATGGCATGAACCTGGGAGGCGGAGCTTGCAGCGAGCTGAGATCACGCCACTGCACTCCAGCCTGGGTGACAGAACCAGACTCAGTCTCAAAAGAAAAAAAAAGTATGTGTAGCCGGGCGTGGTGGCTCACACATGTAATCCCAGCACTTTGGGAGGCCAAGGTGGGCAGGTGGCTTGAGCCCAGGAGTTTGAGATCAGCCAGGGCAACATGGCGAAACCCTGTTTCTATAACAGATACAAAAATTAGCTAGGCGTGGTGGTATGCACCCGTAGTCCCAGCTACTCGAGAGGCTGAGGCAGGAGGACTACTGGAGCCCAGGAGGTAGAGGCTGTACTGAGCCAAGATCACGCCACTGCACTCCAGCCTGGGTGACAGAGCAAGACTCTGTATCAAAAAAAAAAAAAAAAAAAAACCATAAAAATAATTAAACAAAAACAAGAACACATTGTGTATACATTACCACAAACTTAGCAGCTTAGCTACTTTAAACACCCATTTATTATCTCAGGTTCTGGGGCGAGGGCCTAGGCAGGGCTCAGCCCTTCCCGGCTCAGGGTCTCTCCAGGCTAGAATCAATGATGGCCGGGCCTGCGTCTCCTTGGAGGCCCAGGGCCCCTTCCAGACTCACCCAGCTGTTGGCAGAATTCAGTCCCTGCAGCTGTGGGGCCGAGGCCTCCATTCCCTCGCTGGCTGACAGCCAGGGCACTCTCCACCCTAAAGGCGTCCTCAGCCCTGGCCACACAGCCCCTCCAGGGACCCTCTCACAACATGATGGCTCCATTGCTATCATTCAAACTCCCTGAAGTTTACCGGTGCGATGAAGCCAGCAGGAGAGTCTCCCTCCCATGCAGAGCCTTCCCACCGTCTCTGCGTCACTGCCTCGGACAGGAGGGACCTCTCCCCGCCACAGGATCACCCACAGCCTGGAATTCTGCCCCCAACGTGTGGCCCCACGGCCTTCTGTCCCAGAGTTGCTGGTGTCAGGCCTAGTCCCCGTCCAGTTTTTGTTCTTTTTCCCTGTAGACTTTTCTTTTGTCCTTCGTACTGTGACGTTTCCCCTTACTGTGTGCGTGTGGGGTCTCTAGAGCTCTCTGAAGGCTGGCGTCTGCTCTGTCCTGGTGGACCTGCCCCGTCCTGGTGGACCTGCCCCTTTCCATCCTGGGTGGCTTCCTCCCTCCGTTCTGATCTAAGATGCTGGTCTTCTGGAGGAAGCCCCCGGGTTCCTGTGTTCCCACCCCTCTGTCCCTTTGCGCTCGCTCCGGGGGCTCTCCCAGCCCTGCCCGCCCCGTGGCTGGGTCCACCCTGCTCTGCTTGCTTTCGTAGCTCCGTTCCTTTGTGCATAACCAGTTTATGATGTTTTAAGGTTGTTGCTTTCCTCCCTCTCTTCCCGCGTGCTGGTTCTGATTTGTGCGCATCCCCCTCATCCATCCCCTTCCTCCATGGTGTTGGGTTCTCTCCGGCGTCCGGCCATCCTTGGCGCCTGCTCATCTTCGTATTGGGCACCCCCGTGTGCCCATCCACAGGAGCCCAGAGCACGTCAGGCCAGTGCAGGCCGCGCGAGAGCAGGAGGGACAGCAGCAGCCCTGCCTTTCCCGTCGCGCCTCCACTTTTCCTGTGGAATGCTTCCTCCTCGGGAAGCATTAATGCTGGGCGATTGGACATGTCCTTAGGTACAAGCAACAGCTGTCCCTGGCGGTGGAAAGGGAGCGGAGCCTGGAGCGTGATCAGGTGCAGCTGGGCCTGGACTGGCAGCGCCGCTGTGACGACATTGAAAGGGACCAGATCCAAAAGTCAGAGGCCCTGATTCAGGGTCTGACCACGGCAAAAAGTCAGGTGTGTGCGGCCACCAGGGTCTGGGGCCTTCTCGGCGCCTCTGCAGAGGTGGGGCTGGGCAGGACGGGTCTGGTTCTCACCAAATGGTTCTTTAAATTTGAAAACACTAAACCTCACGGAGCAGTATGCTGTGTAGCAACAAAAATTACAGTAATAAAAATGCGCCCCGCCTGTCCACCCACCTTGACTTTCTTGCATAAGCGGTTTCTGTAGCTGGCCAGCCTCGGGTTTAAGTAGCGTTGCATGATCCCATGATCCCTGCTGGCCTGCAAGGACAGCCAGGGGTGTGGGTGGCAGGAAGGGTTTGGCGGCCTGGCCACAGTGGGGAGCCTGGTGCTCTGAGCATCTCCCACCTATGTGTGCTGTTGGAGCCTCAGCAGGCATGGGAGCTGCCCCGTCATCCACACAGGGACTGAGTCCCAGCGTTGTTCCCAGGTTGCTGCCAAGCTGCAGGAGACAGAGCGGGCGCTACGGGAGCAGGAGGTGGTGCTGAAGGCCGTGACCCTGGAACGAGACCAGGCCGTGCAGGCCCTGAGGATGCATGGGCTCCCCGGACCAGGGGCGCAGGTGAGAGTGCCCAGCCTGCTCTTTGAAACTTTGCTCAACAGCAGCAGTGGGAAAATAGGACCGGATCCCCAAATCCTACCAAGACTGGAGTTAAGTCTTTCAGTTGTGTTCTTTTTAAATGACCTGTTGCACAAACAAGGGTAAGTCAGAAGCTTGAGAGAGTTAAGGTGAACTCAGGCTTCTTTGTATCTTTCATGTTCGAAAGCTTTAAAAATCCCAAATCCAAATATTACGAGATAGCAGACGTTCATGTGAGTTTGTTCTTATGGTATTGCCTGAGGACCGTCACAGCAGGTCATTTTATGCTAGGAATCTGTCATCGCCGCTCCTGATTTTGTTGGGCAGTGACGTTAGTGGTCAGTAGTTAAGTACTCATCCTATGCCAGGGTTTGCCCTTAGGCCTTGACATCCCTCCACTCATTTCATCTTGGAGGTTGGCACCATGTCCACTGAGACATAGGGACACTGAGGAGCTTGCCTGAGCTGTCACAGCTCATCAGAGCAGAGCTGGGTCCACAGGCAGACGGGAGTGGGGTGCAGGGCTGTAGGAGGCTGGGGGCGAGCACAGAGGGCCCAGCATGGGAGGACTGCCCTAGGCCTGCAGACGGCTTTTCTTTTTCCGTGGGGTGTGGTACATGCAGTAGAATGCGCAGGCCTGGAGTGCACAGGTCAGTGCAGTCGACACGTTAGTGTGCCCAAGCACCCTTACCGCAACACAACCCCCGCAACAAGACCACTGCAACAAGACCACCCCGAGTCCCTGCCCCCTGCTGGTCCCACCTCCCTGCACAAAGCCGCCGCTGGTGCGCATTCTCTCCTGTTTGATTCGCTTCTCTGCCTGAGGCTTGGCTTGTCGTGAAGGGCCTAGATGGGCAGGGCTACCTCCAAGAGTGCCAAGGCAGCCTAATGTACTTAGGACTCAGATCCTAACTGGTATGAAGATTGTTCCTAGCTCGTCCTTCATTCATGTGGTTTTTACTCATTTGTTTTGAGACAGGGTCTCGCTTTGTCACCCAGGCTGAAGTGAGTGGTGCAATCTCAGCTCACTGCAATCTCCTCCTACCCCTAGGCTCAAGCAATCCTCCCGTCTCAGCTGCCCAAGTAGCTGGGACCACAGATGCGCATCACCATGCCTGGCTAATTTTTGGAGTTTGTTTGTTTGTTTGTTTGTTTTTTTGAGACGGAGTCTCGCTTTGTCGCCCAGGCTAGAGTGCAGTGGCCGGATCTCAGCTCACTGCAAGCTCCGCCTCCCGGGTTTACGCCATTCTCCTGCCTCAGCCTCCCGAGTAGCTGGACTACAGGCGCCCACCCTCGCCCGGCTAGTTTTTTGTATTTTAGTAGAGACGGGTTTCACCATATTAGCCAGGATGGTCTCGATCCTGACCTCGTGATCCGCCCATCTCGGCCTCCCAAAGTCTGGATGTTTGTTTGTTTTTAGACAGAGTTTCGCTCTTGTCGCCCAGGCTGGAGTGCAGTGGCGCGATCTCGGCTCACTGCACCACCACCCCCGCCACCACCCGGGTTCAAGTGATTCTCCTGCCTCAGCCTCCCAAGTAGCTGGGATTACAGGCATGAGCCACCGCACCTGGCCTATTTTTTTTTTTTTTGAGACGGAGTTTTGCTCTTGTTGCCCAGGCTGGAGTGCAATGGCGTGATCTCTGCTCGCCGCACCCTCTGCCTCCCAGGTTCAAGTGATTCTCCTGCCTCAGCCTCCTGAGTAGCTGGGACCACAGATGCGTACCACCATGCCCGGCTAATTTTTTGCATTTTTAGTAGAGATGGGGTTTCTGCATGTTGGTCAGGCTGATCTCAAACTCCTGACTCAGGTGATCTGCCTGCCTCAGCCTCCCAAAGTGCTTGGATTACAGGTGTGAGCCACCACGCCTGGCTAATTTTGTATTTTTAGTGGAGATGGGGTTTCTCCATGTTGGTCAGGCTGGTCTCGAACTCCCGACCTCAGGTGATCTGCCTGCCTCAGCCTCCCAAAGTGCTGGGATTACAGGCATGAGCCACCATGCCCAGCCTGGTTGTTAATCTTAACTTTAGCCAAGACAAATGCCAATTCAGTTACTTACCTAGGGATGGGTCTCAGGCTGAAGACTGCTCTCTAACAGACAAGCAAGCCCTGCCTCAGCTCTTCTGCCAATATTGTACAGCAAAATAAACTTTAAATCTCCCAAATTTGGGGAGATCGGATTCTCTGGAGGGGGTGCTCCCAGACCTCGGCAAATTGTCCTGTTGGTTTGAGCCATAAAGTTAGCTCATTCCAGTACCAAGTACCGATAGGAGTTTTGTCAAAGGTCAGAGGCGTCTCCACTCAGAATCTCCCTGTGGTTACCAAAGTGTGAACCCAGAAAATCTTAGACAGATCTCAGTTAATTTAGAAGGTTTATTTTGCAAAGATTGAGGACGCACACCCCTGACACAGCCTCAGGAGGTCCTGATGACATGTGCCCCAGGTGGTCAGAGCACAGTTTGGTTTTATACATTGTAGGGAGATGTGAGTCATCAATCAACATGTGTGAGATGAACAGTGGTTCCGTCTGGAGAGGTGGGACAACTTGAAGTGGGGAGAGGGCTTCCAGGTCATAGGTAGGTAAGAGACAGATGGTTGCATTCGTTCGAGTTTCTGATGAGCCTCTCCAAAGGAGGCAGTGAGATGTGCATTCACCTCAGTGAGCAGAGGGTGACTGAATAGAATGGGAGGCAGGTTTGCCCTGAGCAGTTCCCAGCTTGACTTTTCCCTTTAGCTTAATGATATTTTCCTTTCACGCTGCCGAGCCCTCTGAGCCTTGCTTGCCGCTGTGGCGGGAATGCTCAGCCGTTGAGGCCATGCAGCCAGCACCCTCAGCGCATCCTGGGACAGAGCCTGGTAAGCCTGTGGGCACTCGATATCCCAGTCTGTAGCTGGCCAGGTCGAGCGCGGCCTTCAGCGGTCTGCCGCTCATGTGACTGTTTCTCCAGGAGAATTCTTTCTTCATTTTGGTTCTACCGCAAATATTTTCCCATATCATTACAGTTCTTCACAAACAGAATCTAAATGTCTGCATATTTTATCAAGTGGCCACACCGTAACGCACCTAGCAATTTTCTCACCAATGGTCCTTCATGTTGTTCACCAGTGTTATCACAGCACTGCGGTGGGCAGTTTACTGTCTCCGTTTCTGAACTGCCAGTTGAGGTTCACGTTCTGTTTGCATTATCTCCACCCTTAAGCATGGCGTGTGAAGCTCTCCTCCTGGGAGCCCAGGCCGGCTGGCCTTGCTGCTGAGCATGGAGGAGCCAGTGGGCCAGGGAGTCAGAGCACCCTGGGAAGGGGTCCAGGTCTTGCTTCAGGCTTGTGTTCGCGGAGCGCGGAGCAGGGAGCAGGCTCTGCATCCCTCAGGGTGGCCCCGCAGAAGAGGAAGCTGTGCCTTTTGCACACATCTTGGCTGGACTCATGGTTGAGCTGGGCCAGAGCCCTGGGACTGTGTTTCCCTCTCCGGTATCCGGGGTCTGTGCTGGTGTCTGGAAGCAGGTGTTTCCTCTAATGTGGCTGCTGTTCTAGTTGTTCACAGCCAGAGGGAAAGACTCATAGCGGCGAGTCCCTCCTGGTCGGAGGCAGAAGTGCCCTCACCTTTGGTTAGAGAAGGACACTCCCTCACCCCAGAACCGGGTGGGTGGGGCCTGTCTCTCCTCCTGCACCAGAGCCACCTCGCCTCGTTGTCCTCCCACCTTGGTGGCTCCTTGTGAGGTCTGTCATCCCTATGCCTGCCCTTTGGCCCGAGTGTAACATGTCTCTTTTCTCTGGTTGCTTTTAGAGTTTCCATTTTGTCGCTGATTTTTCAGCAATTTGATTATGCAATGCTCTCTGGTATGATTTTCTTTCTGTTTATGCTGCTTAGGCTTCACTGAGCTTCGTCATCTGTGATGTATGGTTTTCATCGCATTTGTAATGTGTTTGGCCTTGTTGTAGACGCGTCTCCTGCCTTCATGTTCGTCTGGGCTCCTGGTTCCTTGTGCAGCTTGTTTCTGGTCTCAGAGCTCTGCTCATTTTTCCTCCTTTGGCCCCTTTCCGTCTGAGTTTCAGTTTGGGTATTTTCTGGTGCCTGGTGTTTATATTCACTACCTTTTCTTCTGCGTGCTCCAAACCTGCTGTTCATCCTATTCAGTGGATGTTTGACTGTACTAAAGTGTACATAACGCACAGCTGGCCGCTTTATTTTTTGGTGCACCGTTCAGCAGCATGAAGCTCATTCACATGGAGATGCAGCCATCACACCACCCTTTCCAGAACGTTCTCATCTTCACAAACTGAAGCTCTGTCCCCGAGAAACACGGGCTCCCCCTCCCCACCCCCAGCCGCAGCACCCCCATTCCACTTTCTGCCTCTGTGGATTTGACACTCTAGTGACCGCAACAGTATGGAAGGCTTCAGGAATTTGAGTGTCACATTTGCACCTCTGTCAGGCCAGAAAGGAGGGATATCACAACCCCGGGGATGGGGAGGGACCACAGCCCAAGCTCAAGCAGGGGACTGGCCCCGAGAGGGCAGCAGGGAGGGCAGAGGCGCAGCCTGCCAGGACAAGCTGGGGAACCGTTCATCTTTTTGTAGTCATTTTTCCTTGTATTTGACAGATGCTCCTCGGGCAGCATGAAGAAGAAATAAGTAAAGACTTTCCATCCAGTGAGATCCAGCAGCTCCGAGAGCAGAACACGAGCTTGCGAAGCGCGATTGCCCAGATGAGGAAAGAAATGGAGGCTCTAAGCCATCAGATTCCTCCTCCCGCCCAGACAGCGGCAGAGAGCACAGATGCAAACCAGCCTGACCCAAAGGCTGGGGGAGACACCGCCACTCCTGGTGAGTAACAGGGAGAAAGGGACAGAGCGGGAGGGGAAGTGGGAGAGGGAGGGAGGAGGACAGACGGGAGCATGGGTCTCGACTGGCTTCAAGGAGGCTTCATTTCAGAGTCCTGTAAGTTAACATCCCCTGTAATAAATTCAAAGCATGAAAACTGCTTTTTCTCCAAGAGAAGGAATCTTCAGTTTTATACCAAAAAGCTTTTATATTTGTAAAGTAGAAGGAAAAAATGAGGGTACCTGCTTGACACACTTAAAAAACCTGTTTTAGACCTGAACCAGGGCTGGCTTGGTGTCGCGCTGTCCCAGAGTGGGTTGGTAGCAGGGGCTGGTGGACCGCAGGCCTTTCCTCCAGAGGAGTGTCCGTGGCAGAGCTGATGAGGGCGCCCGATGCCCGGGAACCCCACGAGTGGCTGTGGGTGGGCGGATGCCAGGATGGATGCAGAACTTCCGTTCTCCAGGTGGGACTTGGCCCCTCGCACAGAGGCACGTGGGCTGCAGCAGGTGAAACATTTGCTCCTGATCGCTGAGCCCTTCCTGGAGAGCATGGAGACTATGCTGGTCTCTGGCTGGCACACTCTGGCCAGTGAGGGGAGGGAAGGTCTTTCAGTCTGACACACACACAGAGTGTGGAAACTGCTGTGAAGCTCTCGTGCGGGGAGGACAGGAGGACAGGCACAGTGAGGCAGCGGGCACGAGCTGGCATCGGCTCCCTGAGCTGGTGCTCACAGGAGGGCGGTGCGAAAGGGTGTGTGTGTGTGTTATATTCACTGGGCTTTTTTTGGCAGATTATGTTCTGGCCCTTGAAGCAGAAATACGAACTCTAAAGCATAAGTTTAAAACTCTGGAAGAGCATCTAGAAGATGTGCTGGATCCTTTAAAGATGTCCTCACCTCGTGCCGAGTCTCAGCCCAGCGTCCGCACCTCGACAGAGACGACTGGTGAGAGTCCGCGTCTCACTGGGCTCCTTGCTGTCCCTTTATAAACTGAAATCTGACCCCTGCAGAAAGTCCAGTCACAGCAAATATACAGCTTGAGGCTATTGCAGATGTCGGGGCAGTGTCATCTGGTCTGGCAGCCCCTTGTGCTCCCCCAGAGCCCACGTGCCCTGGCTCCTCACTGCAGTTAGCGTTCCCTGGTTCGGTGTGAATGGAATTCTGTGGCACCTGTGCTCTCTCTGGCATCTTCACACCTACACTGTGTTTCACTTGATAATGCCAGATTCTTCTCCAAAGCACCCCTACAATTTACACTCCATCCACAGCATGCGAGGCAGCCGTGGTGCTGCATGCGCGCCAACACTTACATGGTCAGTGGCTCCTTCTGTTCCCTCTAGTGGACACGTAGCACATCCTATTTTGGTTTAATTTGCAAATTTCATGAGATTCGTGGGATTGAACATCTTTCCTGTGTGCATTGGTGTATGATTGGCTAGGGCTGCCATAACTCAGCACCACAGCCTGGGTGGCTTAAACAACGGGTATTTATTTTCTCACTTCTGGAGTCTGGATGTCAGAGATCAGGCTGCTGGCAGGGTGGGTTCCTCCTGAGGCCTCTCTGTGGCTGGCAGACAGCACCCTCTCCCCTGCGCGCTCACGTGCCCTCTCCCCCGGGCGCTCACGTGGCCTCTCCCCTGCGTGCTCACATGGCTCCTCCCCTGCGCGCTCACATGGCTCCTCCCCCACTGCGTGCTCACTCCTGGTGTGTCTTCCTCTTCTGTTTTTTTGGAGGGGGGACAGAGTCTTGCTCTGTCACCCAGGCTGGAGTGCAGTGGTGTGACCTTAGCTCACTGCAGCCTCTGCCTCCCAGGTTCAAGCAATTCTCCTGCCTCAGCCTCCTAAGTAGCTGGGATTACAGGTACACACCACCATGCCCGGCTAATTTCTGTATTTTTAGTAGAGATAGGGTTTCACCATGTTGGTCAGGCTGGTCTCGAACTCTTGACCTCATGATCCACCCACCTCGGCCTCCCAAAGTGCTGGGATGACAGGCGTGAGCTGCCGCACCCGGCTCTTCCTCTTATAAGGACAACAGTCCAGGGCCCCAGCCTTAGGACCTCATGTAACCTTAACTGCCTCCTCAAAGGCCCTGTCTCCAAATACAATCATGTTCGGAGTTAGAGCTTCAACCTATCAATTTTGGGGGACACAGTTCAGTCCATAGGATTGGCCTTTTGATAGTCTCTCTTTTGAAGCTCCAGGCCATGTCTTTTGCCCATGTTTTATTAAATGATCTGCCTTTTGTCATAGATTGTTTTTAGGGTATTTGATTCTGAATATGAGCCTTGCGCTGGTTTTATGGGTTGCAAGTATCTCCTCCCAGTCTGTGGCTTTGCCTTTTATTCCTTCACTGGTGTCTTTGGTGAATGGATGGTCTTCATTTCAAGACAGACTCACAGGCTAATCTATTCTACTGTGGTTAGTCCAACATCAAAAGTTGCATTCTAGCATTCTAGCATTCTTTTTCGTTATTCTAACTTCCTTTTCCAACAATGAGAAACCTGGCTCGCCCATTCTCACTAACACAGTTACTCTGATCGAGTCCTCTTGGTGTAACCAATCCCCCGTTGCTGCTGCAGCCCCTTCCCCTATTTGGAGGCCCCTCTCCTGCCTGGATGCCTCCCCAGCATCACCGAGCTTGACAGCCCAGCCTGGCTGCCTTCCCCTCAGATGCCCTCACCCTGCTGGAGCCACAGTCCCCCTTAGGTAGGGGAGGCAGGCCCCACCTGCAGGCCTAAGGCAGGAAAAGAAAGGGAGGGGCCAGACAGGACACTCCACTGGCACAGATTGTCTCAAATGAGGGAGGTTTTGGCCGGGCGCGGTAGCTCACGCCTGTAATCCCAACACTGGGAGGCCGAGGTGGGTGGATCACCTGAGGTCAGGAGTTTGAGACCAGCCTGGCCAACATGGTAAAACCCCGTCTCTACTGAAAATACAAAAAAATTAGCTGGGCGTGGTGGCGGGCGCCTGTAATCCCCGCTACTTGGGAGGCTGAGGTAAGAGAATCGCTTGAACCCGAGAGGCAGAGGTTGCAGTGAGCTGAGATTGCACCACTACATTCCAGCCTGGGTGACAGAGTGAGACTCCATCTCAAAAAAAAAAAAATAAAATAAGGGAGGTTTTATTTTTCTTTTCCAATGCGGATATTGTTTACTTCTTCTTGCATTATTGCCCCTAGCTAAACTCTCCAGTGTGATATTCATAATCGCTGTCTTTCTCCCTAATCCCAGAGGAGGAACCTTCGGCGTTTCACTTCTTTAGGTTTAGTTTTTGCTGAAGGTTTTTTGCAGTGGGGGTAGTGGAGGGAGGTTAAGGAAGTTTCTTTCTGTTCTTGTTTTAATATAGATCTTCATTTTTAAAATAATGATTCTTTGTTTTTGTTTCATATATTTTGCATCTTTGTTGTTAGATGTGTATACATTTAGGATTATTATTATTTTTAGGATAATTGACCCTTATATTGTTATGTAATCTTCCTCTTTATCCTGGCAACGTTCTTTGTTCTGAGGTCTACCTTGTCTGATATTAGTTAATCCACTCAAGCTTTCTTTTGATTCACGTTTGCGTGATATAACTTTTTCATCCCTTTCCCTTTTTACCTACCTCTGTCTTTTATATTTGAAATGAATTTCTTTTTTTTGAGGCGGAGTCTCTGTTGCCTAGGCTGGAGTGCAGTGGCACAATCTTGGCTCACTGCAACCTCTGCCTCCTGGGTTCGAGCGATTCTCGTGCCTCAGCCTCCCAAGTAGCTAGAGTTACAGGCATGTGCCAACATGCCCAGCTGGTAGCGTTTGTATTGTTAGCAGAGACAGGGTTTCACCATGTTGGCCAGGCTGGTCTCAAACTCCTGGCCTCAAGTGATCCACTTGCCTTGGCCTCCCAAAGTGCTGGAATGACAGGCGTGAGCCACTGCACCCGGCCTAAAGACAAAGACTGTTGAAAGCATGCAGAGAGAGCGATGCATGGCCTACAGGGGACTGTGACCGGAGCGGCAGTGGGTTCTCAGCAGCAGCTGTCATCAGATTTCTCTTCAGAAGGAAGTGGCATAATATTTTTCAAGCACTGAAAGCAAAAACTGTCAACCCATAATTATACATTCAGTAAAAACATTCTTCAGGAATGAGAGTGAATAAAGATATTCTCAGATGAAGGAAAAGTTTGGATCAGACTGGATCTAAAAGAACTGATAAAGGAGGTACTTTAGACACAACGGAAGGAAGGAAACTAGGAACGTCAGGAGTGAAGGAAAACTAATGGCAAGGGTGAATATGATAGACACTCTTTCACACTTGACTTTTAAAATTACGTTGACAGGCCGGGCGCCATGGCTCATGCCTCATGCCTGTCATCCCAGCACTTTGGGAGGCCAAGGCAGATGGATCACCTGAGGTCAGTAGTTGAAGGCCAGCCTGGCCAACGTGGTGAAACCCCGTATCTACTAAAAATACAAACATTAGCTGGGCGCGGTGGCGCCTGCCTGTAGTCCCAGCACTTTGGAAGGCTGGGTGGATGGATCACTCAAGGTCAGGAGTTTGAGACCAGCCTGGCCAAAATGGAGAAACCCCGTCTCTACTGAAAATACAAAAATTAGCCGGGTGTAATGGCAGGCGCCTGTAATCCCAGCACTTTGGGAGGCTGAGGCGGGTGGATCGCTTGAGGCCAGGAGTTCAAGACCAGCCTGGCTAAAATGGAGAAACCCCGTCTCTACTGAAAATACAAAAATTAGCCGGGCATGGTGACAGGCACCTGTAATCCCAGCTATTTGGGAGGCTGAGGCAGGAGAATCGCTTGAACCTGGGAGGCAGAGGTTGAGTGAGCCGAGATCATGCCACAGCACTCCAGCCTGGGCAACAAGAGCAAAAATCCATCTCAAAAAAAAAGAGTTTTTGCCTTTAGTTTTTGGAAATTTCATTATGTTGTAGGCCAGGCGCGGTGGCTCAAACCTGTAATCCCAGCACTTTGGGAGGCCAAGACGGGCAGATCACGAGGTCAGGGGATCGAGACCATCCTGGCTAACACGGTGAAACCCCGTCTCTACTAAAAAATAGAAAAATCTAGCCGGGCGAGGTGGTGGGCGCCTGTAGTCTCAGCTACTCGGGAGGCTGAGGCAGGATAATGGCGTGAACCCGGGAGGCAGAGCTTGCAGTGAGCCGAGATCCGGCCACTGCACTCCAGCCTGGGCGACAGAGCGAGACTCCGTCTCAAAAAAAAAAAAAAAGAAATTTCATTATGTTGTATCTGGGCATAGATTTCTTTTTTTTTTTTTTTTTTTTTTTTTTTGAGACGGAGTCTCGCTCTGTCGCCCAGGCTGGAGTGCAGTGGCGCGATCTCGGCTCACTGCAAGCTCCGCCTCCCGGGTTCACGCCATTCTCCTGCCTCAGCCTCCCGAGTAGCTGGGACTACAGGCGCCCACAACCGCGCCCGGCTAATTTTTTGTATTTTTAGTAGAGACGGGGTTTCACCGTGGTCTCGATCTCCTGACCTTGTGATCCGCCCATCTCGGCCTCCCAAAGTGCTGGGATTACAGGCGTGAGCCACCGCGCCCGGCCTGGGCATAGATTTCTTTGGTTTATTCTTTTTGATATTAAACTGAAGGTTTATGTCTTTCACCAAATTTCAGAAGTTTTCATCCATTATTTTTCAAGTATTTTTTTCAGCTCCATAGTCTTTCCTTCTGGGAGTCTGAGGACACAAATGTTTGGCCTTTTGTTATTGTCCTGCGGGTCCCTGAGGCTGTGTTTTCTCTTTTTTTTTCAATTTGTTTTCTCTGTTGTTCAAATTGGATAGTTTCTTTTCCTCTGTTCTTCAAGTTTATCAGTTCTTTCTTTTGTCATTTCCATTTTTCTGTTAAGCCCATTCAGTGAGATTTTTGTTGCTGTTTCTAAAATTTCCATTTTGGTTTTCTTTTTCCTTTTTTTTTTTTTTTTAATTGTGGTTGTTGTTTTTGAGACAGGGCCTTGCTCTGTTGTCCATGCTGGAGTGTGGTGGTATGGTCACAGCTCACTGCAGCCTTGACCCCTTGGGCTCAAGGGACCTTCCCACCTTAGCTTGCCGAGTAACTGGGACTACAGGCTACAGGGGTGCACCACCACACCCCGCTAATTTCTTTTTATATTTGTAGAGATGGAGTGTCACTATGTTGCCCAGGCTGGTCTTGATCTCCTGACCTCAACTGATCCTCCTGCCTCAGCCTCCCAAAGTGTTTGGATTACAGGCGTGAGCCATCACAGTTGGCCTTAGTTTTCTTTATATCTTACTTTACTGGAACTTTCATTTTGCCATGTGTTTTTAGAGTGTATTAAATTGCTTGCCAGAGTTTTTTGTTTGTGTATTTGTTCATTTTTTTTAGAGACAGGGTCTTGCTCTGTCACCCAGGCTGGAGTGCAGTGGGCATGATCATGGCTCACTGCAGCCTGGACCTCCTGGGCTCAAGCGACTCTCTGGCCTCAGACTCCTGAAGAGCTGGGGTTATGGGTACGTACCACCATCCATGCCTAGCTAATTTTTGTGGTTTTTTGTTTTTGTTTTTGTTTTGTAGAGATGGGGTTTCACTATGTTGCCCAGGCTGATCTTAAACTCTTGGCTTCAAGCAATTCTCTCACCTCCACCCTCCCCAGTAACTTGCTCGAGTATCGTTATGACGGCTGCTTTAACATCTTCATCCCATAATTCCAATGTCTGTGTCATCTTGGTGTTGTCTCTTTCATTCGCATTGAGATTTTCTTGGTTGTTAATATTACGAGTATTTTTTTTTAATTAGAGATGGGGTCTCACTATATTGCCCAGGCTGTTCTGAAACTCCTTGGCTCAAGTGATCCTCCTGCCTCAGCCTCCCAAAGTGCTGGGATTACAGGCAGCCTCCTGTAATTTTTTACTGTATCATGGACATTTTGAGTGTCACATTATGAAATTCTGGTTCTTATTAAACCTGTGTTAATTCTGTCATTTATTGTATCAGATAAGTCAGCCTTTCTGGGTTCACACTGCATATCCTGGCCCATTCTGGTGGGCTGAGGTTTGAATGTCCGTTACTTTCCAGAGCCTTGATGATGGCGTTTTACTCTGCCCACACGTGAGCTACCAAGTGGCCAATTAAATCCTGGGCAGTGTCCCCCGCCAGGCCCAGTTGTCAGAGGTTTTGCTGTGCTGGTTCTGTTGATTCTGGCTGGTTTTACACGGCGGATCCTCAGGAGTCTTCATGTAGACCTTCTTCCTCCTGTGACCCTCCCCACATGCTCTCCCAGAAGCTGAGATGGCCTTTGTCTATACCAGGCTGCAGGACCGTGGGCTGGCAGGAGGGCAAGTGTGGTCCCAAGGGCTCCACCTGCATGTCCCCGTCTTCTGCTCCGTTGGTCCCAGGAGCAGCTTCTCTTCGGCCTTTTGTTTTGGTCTGAGCTCTGGGTTGTGGCTGCCCAGCACCAGGCCAGTGTGTGCAGGAAGGAGACGAGGGACTCCCTGCCAGCCATCCCTGGGATCCGAGGCCCCTAGACGCTCAGGCTTTGTTTCTCACCGTTCAGAATCTTCCTCTAGTGGGGCTTTTTGTGTTCTGGCCGGGCCTTTAGCTGAGATTAGTGGGGGGAAATGGGGGTGGACTGCAGGGTCTCCATCATGTTAAACCACCCTTGCAGTTCCAGGAAGAATGCAACATGTAGTGATAGATTCTTCTTTTTATAATTTGACAGATTTGGTTTGCTGATACTTCTTTTGTTTTTTGTTTATATGAGACACGGTCTCGCTCTTTGACCAGGCTATTCTTGAACTCTTGGGCTCAGGCCGTCTTCTTGCCTTGGCCTCCGTGTAGCTGGGATTACAGGTGCGAGCCACCAGGCCCAGCTTGGTTTGCCCGTGCCCGTGTTTTATTGAAAATTAGTACATTTGTGTTCATGAGTAAGACTGGCCTATAATTTTCAATTCTCGTAATGTTCATGTGAGGTTTTGGAATCAAAGTTACTCTGGCCTCATAAATATGTTGGAAAGTATTCTCTATTTTTCTGTTTTCTAAAAAAGTTTGTATCAGACGTATCTTAATTTTTCTTAAATAATTGGTAGAATTCAACTTTGAAACCAGCTGGGCCTGGAGTTTTCCTTGTGGGAAGGTTTAAAATTGTGAATTCAGTTTTTTTCATAGTTATAGGACATTCAGATTTTCTTTTTTATACATGTTATATTTTACTAAGAAATTGTCCATTTCATCTAAATTTTCAAATTTTTGACATAAAGTTGCTTATAGTGTCCTATGAGTTTTTAAATGTCTGTGGGGTCTGAAGTGATAACTCCTTTTTGCCATTAATTATATTGGTCATTTGCTTTTATTTTTTCCTTGCTTAGTATTACTGGGTGTTTATTTTAGCCTTCTCAAAGAATCAACTGTTGGTTTTGTTGATTCTCTATTATACATTTATTTTCTGTTTCCTCAATATCTAATACTGATGTTATCTTTTCTTCCTCCTACTTTATTTGGCTTTTTTTTTTTTTTTTTTTTTTTGATGGAGTCTCACTCTGTTGCCCAGGCTGGAGTGTCATGGCACAATCTTGGCTCACTGCAACCTCCACCTCCTGAGTTCAGTTGATTCTCGTGCCTCAGCCTCCTGAGTAGCTGGGACCACAGGGGCACACCACCACGCCAGGCTAATTTTTGTTTTTTTTTTCAGCAGAGACAGGTTTTGCCACATTGGCCAGGTTGGTCTCCCACTCCTGACCTCAGGCGATCTGCCCGCCTCAGCCTCCCAAAGTGCTGAGATTACAGGCGTGAGACACCATGCCCAGCCCTATTTGGCTTTAATTTGGCCATTCTTTTTAAATTTATTTTTCTGCTTGTGTGTGTGACAGGCTCTCGCTCTGCTGTCCAGGCTGGAGTGCAGTGGCGCAGTCATCGCTCACTGTAACCTTGAATTCCTGGGATCCAGGGATCCTCCTGCCTCAGCCTCCCAATGTGATGAGATGACAGGCAGGGGCCACTGCGCCTGGCTCTCTAAATTCTTGAGATGAACGTTTAGCTCACTGGTTTTCAGCCTTTCTTCTTTTCTAAAATATTTATCTAAAGCTGTAATTATTCTTGGACGGACAGCTTTAGATTCATTCCTGAAGTTTCTAAAGTAGTATTGTTGTTATCTTTCCATTCAAAATAGTTGTTAATATCCATTGTGATTTTTTTCTTTGACCCTGTGTTATGTGGCATCTTTTTTCTCAATTTCTAACTAAGTGGCTCTTTATTTGGACAGATTGGAGCAATTGGTCTCTATCAGACACTACATGGTAAGGTCAGACTTTTTCCTACAAGGATTCTTGCTTTCTTTACATGAGGATTATGCTTTCTGTACAGCATCTCTAATCTTCATGTGGACCCGGATCTGCTGACCAATGAACAACAGCTTTGCGTTGGGGTCAGCCGCTGGTGCCATGGCCTCACGGGAAAGGGAGAGCTGATAGAGATGTGTGTCTCCCCTGAAAGACCTTCCTTCGTTCTCAGATCTGAGCTGACAGAAGCCACTCTTCTCTGCAGGAGGGTCTGTCCAAGCTGGCCCAGTGTCCTCCGGACTGGCACTCAGGAAGCTCGGGGACAGAGTGCAGCTCCTAAACCTGCTGGTGACACGACTCAGACAGAAGGTGAGGCGCTCGAGTTTGTGGGGTCTTCCTCCCAGGGAGCCGTTGCTGGGGGGTGGGGGCGGGGCGTGGGCTCTGAGCGACTGCCCGGTGCAATCCCAGGTGACCTCGGGCATCCACTGACCTCTCTGTGCCTGTTTTCTTCTGAGGAAGGGGCCGTAGGGAGGTCTTGGGAACCGGTTCATCTCAGTTGTGCTCGTGGAAGGCTTGCCAGGAGAATCTGGGAAGCACAGTCCAGGCAGTGGAGGCAGTGCTGGCGGCCAGACCACCAGGCCCTGGCTGTGCCCACTCAGAGGGGTCCTGGTCAACGGGGCGTGTGTGTGGGCTGCCTGATGCCACCTGCCCACTCAGAGGAGTCCTGGTCAACAGGGCACGTGTGCTCCATGTCAGTGACGAGCTGCACTTCATCTGAGACACTGGAGCCTTGGCAAACGCTGTTCTTTTCAACCTCCTGGGCCCTTGCCTTTTGGGGGTCGGGTCATACTCCTGCTGGGGCCAGTATCTGCATGCATCCAGCAGCGAGCGCACCTGTTTCCCGTGGGGCTGGGGTCACTGCCTTGGTTTGATTGCTACAGAGTCCTAACATTGTTTTGATTTTTACTTTAAAAAATTGTGTGGCCAGGCATGGGGGCTCATGCCTGTAATCCCTGCACTTGGGGAGGCGGAGTTGGGCAGATCACCTGAGGTCAGGAGTTCGAGACCAGCCTGGCCAACATGGTGAAACCCTGTCTCTATAAAATACAAAAAATTAGCCAGGCATGGTGGCAGCTACTTGGGAGGCTGAGGTGGGAGAATTGCTTGAACCCAGGAGGCGCAGGTTGTGGTGAGCCGAGATCGCACCATTGTACTCTAGCTTGGGCAACAAGAGTGAAACTCCATCTCAAAAAAAAATTTTCTTTTAATTGTAAAATGCATTAATATATAACAAAGTTTACCATTTTGACCATTTTAAAGTGTACCTATCAGTGGCAGTACATTCACGATGTTGTAGAAACATTCTCACTATTACCAGAGCTTTTCTCCCCACCCCAGATAGCAGCTCGGTACCAAAACCACACAGCAGTATCACCCGTTCCCTGCTTCCCAGCCTCTAGTAACCATTCCCCTCCCCGTCCCGATCAGTTTGTCTACTGAAGGGACCTCATACTAACACAGTCATACGGTAGTTGTCCTTTTGTCCTTTTGTCCTTTGTGCCAGGCTCTTTCACTGAGAATGTTCTCAGGGTCAGCTCTGCGTATGTCAGGGCGCCGTTCTTCCCGTGGCTGGCGTATCCTGTCGTCTGGATGGATCACACTTCGTGTATCACTCATGCACTCAACATCTGGGTTGCTTCCGCTGTTTGGATTGTGCATGACGCTGCTGTGAACGCTCCTGTGTGGACTTATGCAAAGTTCAGTTGTCCTGGGTGTACACCTGGGAGTGGAATTGCTCTGTCAGACGGTCACCCTGTGTTTACCCCTCGAGGAGCCGCCCGCTGTTTTCCCCGACGGTCACCCTGTGTTTACCCCTCGAGGAGCCGCCCGCTGTTTTCCCCGACGGTCACCCTGTGTTTACCCCTCGAGGAGCCGCCCGCTGTTTTCCCCGACGGTCACCCTGTGTTTACCCCTCGAGGAGCCGCCCGCTGTTTTCCCCGACGGTCACCCTGTGTTTACCCCTCGAGGAGCCGCCCGCTGTTTTCCCCGATGGTCACCCTGTGTTTACCCCTCGAGGAGCCGCCCGCTGTTTTCCTCGACGGTCACCCTGTGTTTACCCCTCGAGGAGCCGCCCGCTGTTTTCCCCGACGGTCATCCTGTGTTTAACCCTCGAGGAGCTGCCCGCTGTTTTCCCCGACGGTCATCCTGTGTTTACCCCTCGAGGAGCTGCCGCGCTGTTTTTCCCAGCAGCCGCACCATTTTACCTCCACCAGCACTGTGTGAGAGTTCCAGTTCCCCATCCCCACCAACACTAGCTGTTTTCTGGCTGTGATGCTAGTCATCCTGGTGGGAGTGAAGTGGGGCCTCACTGTGGTTTTGATTTGCGTTTTCCTGATGACTCCTGATGTCAGGCAGCATTTCACGTGTGTCTTGGTCGGCATTTGTCTTCTTTGGAGAAATGTCCGTGTAGATCCCTTGCCCAGTTTTAATTGGGTTATCTTTTTATTTGAGCTGTAAGAATTATTTTTATATTCCAGATACAAGTCCCTTATTAGATTTATGATTTGCTACATTTTTTTCCCATTCTGTGGTTTGTGTTTTCACTTTCTTTTTTTTTTTGAGACAGAGTCTCACTCTGTCACCCAGGCTGGAGTACAGCAACGTGATCTCGGCTGACTGCAACCTCCGCCTCCCGGGTTCAAGCAATTATCCTGCCTCAGCCTTCCAAGTAGCTGGGATTACAGGCGTGAGCCACCATGGCCGGCCAATTTTTGTATTTTTAGTAGAAAGGGGGTTTCACCAGGCTGGTCTCAAACTCCGGCCTCGGGTGATCTTCCCTCCTCCGCCTCCCAGAGTGCTGGCATTGCAGGTATAAGCCACTGCACCTGGCCTGTCTTTTCACTTTCTTGATGGTGTCCTTTGAAGGACACCGAATGTCTCCAGTTTTGATCCAGTCCCGTTGTTCATGTCTCCTGTTGCTTGTGCTTCTGAGTCGTGCTGTCCTCATCCTGTTGCCTTTATTCCTTGTGAGGCAACGTAAGGAGGGAATTTCCACATGTCCTGTCACATTGTAAATACGTAAATCACACCTTCCCTGCAGCCTCTGCTTCTTCCCTAGTGCAGAACATCTCCTCTAGAAACAAAGTATTCCAGGGCCGGCTGCAGCCTCTGCTTCTTCCCTAGTGCAGAACATCTCCTCTAGAAACAAAGTATTCCAGGGCCGGGCGCGGTGGCTCAAGCCTGTAATCCCAGCACTTTGGGAGGCCGAGACGGGCAGATCACAAGGTCAGGAGATCGAGACCATCCTGGCTAACACGGTGAAACCCCATCTCTACTAAAAAATACAAAAAAACTAGCTGGGCGAGGTGGCGGGCGCCTGTAGTCCCAGCTACTCGGGAGGCTGAGGCAGGAGAATGGCGTAAACCTGGGAGACGGAGCTTGCAGTGAGCTGAGATCCGGCCATTGCACTCCAGCCCGGGCGGGCGACAGAGCAAGACTCAGTCTCAAAAAAAAAAAAAAAAAAAAAAAGAAACAAAGTATTCCAGATTTCCCGTCTGCCGAGGGAGCAGGCAGTGCTTCAGAAATTGGATGCCTTTTTTTTTAATCTTCCTAAAATGTTTGATGGATTGATTGACAAATATGGCTGGGCGAGGTGGCTCACGCCTGTAATCCCAGCACCTTGGGAGGCCAAGGTGTGCAGATCACCAGGTCAGGAGATTGAGACCGTCTTGTCCAAAATGGTGAAACCCCATGTCTACTAAAATACAAAAAATTAGCCAGGCGTGGTGGTGCGTGCCTGTAATCCCAGCTACTCGGGAGGCTGAGGCAGGGCAATCAATCGCTTGAACCCGGGAGGCGGAGGTTGCGGTGAGCTGAGATTGCGCCACTGCACTCCAGCCTGGGCGACAAAGCAAGACTCCATCTCAAAAAAAAAAAAAAAAAAAAAAGAGGCCGGGCGCGGTGCTCAAGCCTGTAATCCCAGCACTTTGGGAGGCCGAGACGGGCAGATCATGAGGTCAGGAGATCGAGACCATCCTGGCTGACACGGTGAAACCCCGTCTCTACTAAAAGTTACAAAAACTAGCCGGGCGAGGTGGCGGGCGCCTGTGGTCCCAGCTACTCGGGAGGCTGAGGCAGGAGAATGGCGTGAACCCGGGAGGCGGAGCTTGCAGTGAGCTGAGATCTGGCCACTGCACTCCAGCCTGGGCGACAGAGCAAGATTCTGTCTCAAAAAAAAAAAAAAAAAGAAAGAAAATGACAAATATAAATTGTATATCTCTGTGGTGTGTGACATGATGTTCTGAAACATGTCCACACTGTGGAATGGCTGAATGAGGCTAATTAACATGTGCATCACCCTCAGACCTCTCATTTGCTGCTGATGCCTAACGTCTCACCTTGATGGGACGTGCATCTTTGTTGTTGTAGTGAAGAGGAACTTGGCTACTTTTCCATTTCTGTTGAAGATCCGTGTACCCGTGAGGGACTCCAGTCGAGGCGGTTGAAGATCCATGTACCCATGATGGGGCTCCAGATTCCCGACACTTTGCAGTTGCTGTTTCCCCCATTTCCCACACAAATCCTACAGACAAGAAATAAACATTTAAAAAGCTTTTAGGCTGGGCACGGTGGTACACACCTGTAGTCGCAACACTTTGGGAGGCTGAGACGGGAACATCACTTGAGCCCAGGAGTTTGAGAACAGCCTGGGTAACATAGGGAGACCTTGTCCCTACAAAAACTAAACAAGACTGGGCACGGTGGCTCATGCCTGTAATCCCCACACTTTGGGAGGGTGAGGTGGGAGGATTATTTGAGCTCGGTAGTTTGAAACCAGCCTGGGCAACACAGCAAGACCCCATCTGTACTAAAAACTGAAATAATTAGCCAAGAATGGTGGTGCGTCTGTAATCGCAGCTACTCAGGAGGCTGAGGATTGCTTGAGCCCAGATGGTTGAGGCTGTAGTGAGCCACGATCGCGCCCTGCGCCCCAGCCTGGGCAACAGAGCAAGACCCTGTCTCTAAAAATAAAAACAGGCTGGATGTGGTGACTCACAGGTGTAATCCCAACACTCTGGGAGGCTGAGGCAGAAGATCGCTTGAGTCCAGGAGTTTGAGACCAGCCGAGGCAACAAAGTAAGATGCCATCTGAATAAAATAAGTAAATAAATACAAATAAATACAAGCTTTTAATTTTACCTTGGTTAATCATAGATGATTTGATCATCCTGGGGAAAATGTTCACCTTGAAGTAATATTGTTTGGTTGGGTTTTTACTTAGCAGTGTCTGTAAATTAAATAATAACCTTTATTTGTGTGTAGGTAGCAAATTCAAAAATGAAATATTCATAAGGAATTCACCGTAGGAGTCCCTGGCATAGGGAAAGTGATATTTTATGTTACTGGGAATGAGGCGGGAAGGCTCTGGTGCGGGAGGCATTCCTCTTTCTCACCTGCGCTGCTCTTCTTCCTTCCTCTCGCCGGGAGTGGTGCGGTCAGTGAGAGGCAGCCAGAGCTGGAGGCCAGCCCAGAGCCCCCAGGGTGGGTCTCATGGCCAGCGTGTTGCCTCCCAGAGGTACTCTGTGACCTGTGACTTCCCTCTCCCAGCCCCCCATTCACTCGGGCCTCCTGTTGGCCTCCACCTGCCTTTCTTTTTTTTTTTTTTTTGAGATGGAGTCTCGCTCTGTCGTCCAGGCTGGAGTGCAGTGGCGCGATCTTGGCTCACTGCAAGCTCCGCCTCCCGGGTTCACGGCATTCTCCTGCCTCAACCTCCCGAGTAGCTGGGACTACAGGCGCTGCCACCGCGCCCGGCTAGTTTTTTGTATTTTTTAGTAGAGATGGGGTTTCACTGTGTTAGCCAGGATGGTCTCAATCTTCTGACCTCGTGATCTGCCCGCCGTGGCCTCCCAAAGTGCTGGGATTACAGGCTTGAGCCTCCGCACCCGGCCTATCCACCTACCTTTCAATAGCCTCAGCCCTCTGACCTCCTGGCCTGCCTCCCTCTGGCCTCCCCATTTCTGCCCCCTTTGATTAGCAGAAGAGAAAAATCTATACCTCCTACTGGTTACTTGCAATTCTGGAGGCTTTTGTTTCTCCCTGGAAGGAGGGCTCAGGAAGGGGTTTCAAGGCGCTCTGCCTCTGTCCATGCACGGATTCTCCCCACCAGCCTGGGAGTCCAGAGCAGGGTACCGGGAGCCACCGGGGGGGCCAGCTGGGTGGGGCAGGAGGAGCAGCGGCTGCGGTGGGGGGCGGAGGGCGGAGGGCAGTTGCATCCAGCTGGGGAGGAGGCCCTGGTCTCCGGCTCCCCTGCTCTTTCCCCGAACTCACAGCGCTTCCCGGCAGTGCCCCAGGGGCCTGCTCCAGCCCAGCCGCTGCCTTGACTCCTTACACTGCCTTCGAAATGGCTCCTAGGTGCTGCGGGAACCCCTGGAGCCGGCCGCTTTCCAGCGTGAGCTTCCCCGTGAGGTGGACCAGGTACACCTGGAGGTTTTGGAGCTGCGGAAACAGGTGACTGAGCTGGGGAAGCATCTCAGGATAGCCCACCACGAGGGAGCAGAGCCTTCAGTCCAGAAGCAGCCCCCAGCCTCGGACGCCGTGACCCTAGGGAGAGAGGTGGGTGCCCGCCAGCTCCTCCTGCCACCCGCCTGTCGAGGCTCCTGCCACAGAAACTGCCCTTGCCTGCGCTCTGCCAGCGTTGCTGCCTGTATGCCCTGGGAGCTCAGATGGGACGAGAGCTGCAGTGAAGGCTGTGCCTGGAAGTGGGCCCTGCTCCACCCTTCTCCCCCTTCTTCCTCCCCCTTCTTCCTCCACCTTCTTCCTCCGCCTTCTTCCTCCCCTTCTTCCTCCCCCTTCTTCCTCCCCCTTCTTCCTCCCCCTTCTTCCTCCCCTTCTTCCTCCCCCTTCTTCCTCTGCTTGCCTCCTCTTTTCCTGGTCCTTCACCTTGACGCCCTGTTGGTGGGGGCAGGCCCGGGCCCATCCCAGTCCTCCCTTCAGCTAACAGCATCTTGTGTTGGAAACTCACACACTGAAGGTGGCTCATGTTTACTTTAATGCAGGGCCTTGATGGCCTGCTGAGGGGGCGTCTGCGTGCACAGTCCTGCCTGCCCCACGCCTAGCGGTGGGCCCTCCCTGCGTGGGGAGGGGGCCACATGGCCCTCACTGCTGCGTTCAGAGCCACGCAGCTGCTCCATGCCACGGCTCTCCTATCCTGGTCCTGGTCAGGGCCTTGGCCCCGAGGGAGTGACCCCCAACTCCATGGCTGGGTTTGAGCCACAGCTCTGAGCTGTGGAGATGACCCCAGGTCCTGATTCTGCAGCTTGGCAGAGCCGACCAGCAGGGCTCCCTTCTTCCTACCTAAGGCCAGAGGGAAAGGCTGTGAAGGACAGACTGCCAGCCTCCCTGACTTCGTACCCCAGACTGTTGGTAATTGGGATAACTGTAGCAACCTATGACCTGTGTGACCTATGAATCCACAGAAGGTTTCAGGGACGGTAGATGCTGTCTAGAAGGCACAAAGTGGAAGACAGCGTGGACCCCAGGGCACCATGCTTGGGGAGCAGGACCCCAGGGACTCGGACTGGAATAGAGTGGACTGAGGAAGATGGGGCCGTGGCTGTCTCAGGCTCCAGGACAGTGAGGAGCAGGCCAGAGCTGCCTTGGCATGGGATGGGCAAGACCATGAGGATGCCTTAGGGGGACGACAGAGCAGGTATGGGAAGGCGGAGGGAGCCTGAGGCCCCAGCAGGTGCCCAGCCAGTGTGCACAGGAAGGGCTGAGCTGGTTGGTAAGATACTGAGCTGCACCTGCCCTTGTACCTTTGGTACGGAGGTGCTGTCCTCAGGGGTCCCCAGCACCCTAGCCCTCCTGGGCTCCCAGTCCAGCCACTCCAGGGTGGCTCCTGCCCGGTGGGGGCTGTGGCCCCTGGACCAGCTTAGCAGCACCGCGGGGGTAAGCATGTCTGCACCCCCACACGTGTCCCACCCACCTGAACGCCGTGTGTTCCCGGACACGGGTGGGCGCCTCCTTGGGCAGCAAGGGGCCCCAGGAGCTCTCACTGGCATCCCTTGCATAGTTCGCTATCTTCCCACTTGTTTAGAATGAAGGGGCAAGAATTTATACAAATAAACAGAATTTTTTCTTTTTCTTTTTTTTGAGACAGTCTCACACTGTTGCCCAGTCTGGAGTGCACTGGTGCTATCTTGGCTCACCGTAACCTCCTCCTCCCGGGTTCAAGCAATTCTCCTGCCTCAGCCCCCCAAGTAGCTGGGATTACAGGTGTACCACACCCAGCCAATTTTTGTATTTTCAGTAGAGACAGGGTTTCACCATGTTGGCCAGGCTGGTCTCAAACTCCTGGTTTCAAGTGATCTGCCTGCCTCAGCCTCCCAAAGTGGTGGGATTACCGTGCCTGGCCCAAATAAGCAGAATTTTAAATTGAGGAATTAAATCCCGTGGCAGACAGAGTGGGAGCTGAAGCCACCTGCAGCCCAATCCCAGTTATTGGAGCTAAGGCACAGGCGGGGCAAACACTGCGGGCTCCGTGTCTATGTGCATGGAGGGGACAGTCAGGCTCCAGGCTCCTCCTGGGTCTGAGCATCCTGTGGCCGGGCTCTCCACCCAGGCGAGGCCCACCGCGGCTCTGTCCTCTGCCAAGCAACGTGGCTGAGCTCCTGGAGACGACGGCGGGCCCAGGTCGTTGCTGCTTGCAGCCGCGGGAAAGGAGCCCAGACGGAGAAGGGGGCGGGGCCCTCAGGTAGAGGATCAATGTGTCCGTTATGTTGGGTATAGAGAAGTGGGTAGAGCTGCGTGTGCATCTGATCCCAGCTCTGTCCTGAGAGGGCCCACAGCCTGGGCTCGGCCGCAGCAAATGCCAGTTCCACAGTTCCAGGCACTGGTTCCATGGTTGCTGCTGTGCTCACAGGAGCCGGGGCTCCAGCATGAAGGCAGGTTCGGAGGGCACGGGAACCAGCAGAAAGGGGCCCCCACTGACGAGATCTAGGCCAATAGGCAGTGATGGTGAAGACCATAATCCATTGACTCAACCAGGAAATAATGGGTCCAGGCTGATAGCAATGGACAGATCAATCAGGGGAACGGGGCGCTCCTCCACACGAGAGTGCCAGCCAAGGAACGCGACAGGAATGGCACGCTGGGCGATCACAGATGGGTACTGAGCCAGAGGGATTCCCATCAGACGGACGCGAAGCAGCATCTCCCACGTGACTTATTTTCAAGGGTAATGCTGGCTTTCCAGTGGAGCAGCCTGTTGGACCCCAGCTGAGCCGAGTGATCAGAGCTCCCATCGCCCGTGCTGGGTGCACCTGCCTCCGGGCGGGCCACACTGAGACGGCACAGACTCACTCTCAGGGTCCCTGCCAAAGATGCAGAACCTGAGCTTAAGCATGAAGAAACCTCGGGCAGCCCAAACAGAGGGACTTCTGCACGCTTGGTGGGCGCCCAAACATGGAAGCTGGGGAGCCACCCAGTTAGGAGACCTGGGAGACCCCACGTAGAAACGCCAGGTGGGACCCCGGACCCCGCACACGAGAGACAGTGTAGAAACGCCACGTGGGACCGTCGTCCCCGCACACGAGAGACAGTGTAGAAACGCCACGTGGGGCCCTGGACCCTGCGCAGGAGACACGGCGTCAGGGCGCTATCCGGATGGCTGGTGCCATTCGCACACGGGCGATGGACCAGGTCACACATTGTGTGCATCCACCCGAGTACCGAGGTGTGGCGAGCACGGCGTCTCCAGCCTACCTCCTGTAGTGCAGGAAGCCTGTGCGGGGCCGGTGAGGAAGCGCACAGGGGCCCAGGGAGTGTCCTCCAGCACCCCTGACAAAAGCCGGTCCCTTCCCCGGCCCCAGCCAAGGAGCCAGGCCTGCAAAGCCGAGGCCAGGTGTGTGCAGAGCACGTGTTGCCGCTTCTCCCGTGGCGGAGGGAGAGCCTGTGGACAACAGTGGGGCGCTCTGCTCCCAGGCAGGCCCCACTGGGCTGAGCCGCACAGCCTGGCTTTGCCCTCCCCTGACTGCACCACCCCCATCAACTGCCTCCAGTCCTTAAAACACAAAACTTCCCCCCAGGCACTGGCCGCCAGGGCGGAGTTGGAGGATGTGTTATGTCCCTGGGTCCACTGGGGGGCAGTGTTGGCCATGGCATTGGCGCCGGCTCTGCCGAGAGGCGCTGGAGTGACTGTGTGGGGTGGTGAGCACCGGCCCAGCCTGATGGAACCCACTGTACCAGCTCCAGGCCTCAGCCTCTGAGGAGGACTTCTCTGTCACTCACTCACACATGTCCTCAAGACGTGAAGACATTTCAGCAGACCAAAGTTTCCTTCTAGTTTCCTTCTAATTTCCTCCTAATTGTCCAGACACATGGAGACGTCTCCCCCTCACCAGGGGGTGCTGGGGCAGTCCCAGGCGTGGGGGCAGGTGGGTGGGCAGCCCCTGGAGCACACAGTGGTGAAGACGTTCCTAAATATGTCTCAGGCTGTAGAAATCTTATTTTGTGGAAAGATTTTAGAGAATCATCAAAATAAACTTTTACCAAATAACATTTTACCAGAAACTGGATCCAAGAGAGGTAGAATCTTTCATTCCCTGCCCCCCAGGTTACTGTGTCAGAATCACCTGACTAGGACGTGGGCCCTGCAGTCCGTGTCCTCCTTCCTGTGCCTGTGGGGTCAACAGCAAGAAGGCCCCTCAGTGCCCCTCAAGCCTGGCACCAGCCGCAAGGGCCTGGGGCAACATCGGGGCATCTTTGCGGGTAGAGGGGACTGCTTTTGAAGAGGGAATTGTCTCTTAAGTCTCTAAGTGTTTTGAGGTTTGCAAAATCTGTTTTCAGGATTGTTCTTTCCTCAGTTAAAGTAACAAAATAACCCAGTGTGTTCCTGTAGAGGACCCAGGGCTTTCGACCTGGACTTGGAGTCTCCCCTGCCTGGCTGCTGTCCCCCAGCGCTGCGCCATCTGCAACCTGTTTCACCAGCACAAGACCTCCCTTCCTCCAGACCTGCCTTGGCCTCTCCTAGGCCCAAGAGCCCATTCCTGCCCATCCTCCCGGGGCCGCGAGTGAGCCTCTGCGCCACACTTGCCAAGGGTGCTCACGGAGCAGGCACAAGGCCCACTCACTGGAGGAAGCGAGTCTGGACTCGGGCTCAGGCCTGTGGCGAGCCTCTGTGGGGGCTGCCCTGCACCTGGCCTCGGCTGGGGCCTGCGGCGCCAAAGAACTTTCTCTGTCCAAGAGGAAGGCAGACATCGCTCCCCTTTGCTGTGTCATCCCCGCGGCCCCCGAGCATCCCACATGAACCTGCGGCACATGCCCAGAGGCACTGCATACAGTGGATGCGCCCCAGGCCATCCGAAGAACAGCAGCACCCGGAAGGCAGCAGCACCTGGAGAGGCATACCAGGAAGCTGGTGGGGACAGGGTGTGCTGGCCTGTTCCAGGGACTCAGAGCTCGTGTGGCCAGGACAAGGTGCAGCTTGGCTCCTCACAGGGGCCAGGAGCGGCACGGGAGAAGTAGGTCGTTGGCTTCCGTCTCACCAGGGCCTGGACACCACTGGTTTTTCCTGTGCCCCCATTTTTGGTCCAGGCATCCCTTTGTGTTGGGATTGCACTCTGTAGCACTGGCATGGTGTAGGCCGCAAGCCTACCGGGCTAGGCTGAGCAAGGACAACACAGTGATTCCCAGGGGTTCAAATCTAGGGTTGGCCCAGGCCTGGGGTGCTGAGGGGGAGCCCAGCCAGCTCCACTGCCCCCGTGTCAGCCTCTTCCTCTCCACGGCCTTTGTGCTCCCCCTGCGCCTGCTTCAGGAGGGAAGCCACAGCCAGCCTGCAGGGTGGTTGTGGGGTGTCCATCCGGCAGGTAGAGAAAGGAGGGACCCCGAGGCGTGGAGGAGGGCCAAGCCACGCCAGCGGGAGGTGTCCTCCTGGGTCCTGGGCACTGCTAGAGGCCACAGCCTTCTCTCTGCTCTCCCTGGGGAGCTGCTGTGCTGGTTGGATGTCCTGAGATTCTCACTGTGTTCACTTGAAAGACACAAAGGTATATGTGACCAGAAGGCAGGGATGGCAGGGAGGAGGCAAAGGGCTGTGAGGGCCTGGGGGCCACCCTGGCCTGGGAGATCTGTGGGCCTTTATTCTGTTTGTGGAAGAGAAGGAACCCACTGAAGCATTGGGAGCAGCGACCCTTTTTGTCTTTCTTTTGGAAGGACGTCACCCAGTGGTGGCACCCAGCAGTGCCCACCCTGGGAGAGCAGGTGAAGAGGCTCCGTGGGCAGGCACCCCGGCATCCTCCCATGAGGGCAGCCTCGCAGGGGTGTCTACCTGTGAGTTCTGTTACAGGGCCTCGCCAAGGGAGAGCCTGTGGAGGCCGAGGACCAGGGGGAGCTTTTCCTGCACCTCCGGCCGGTGGCACGCGCCCCCCAGACCTTATCTATGCACCAACTCCAGAGGAAGCTGAAGGAGGCAGCCAGAAAAATCCTCAGCCTCTGCCTGGAGAAGGAGCAGCTCATCGAGATGGGGAACAGGCTCCGTGCGGAGCTGGGCAGGCCTGAAGGTGAGTCTGGGAAGTGGAGGCCGTGGCCTGGGTGCAGGCCAGGTTCTGGGTGTGTGCCTGGGGTCAGTGGGAGGGCTCTGGCCGCAGCCTTCTCAGGAAGGCCCGAAGGCATGCAGAAGCCCCTCTTGTGAGTGGGGCCTGGTTGGAGGCCACTGCACAGAGCAGGACCTCATCTCAGCTGCGGACGCTCTGGGAACCCACTTTGCGGGCACCATTGTGAGAACAACGCCACAGTTTAGCAAAGCAGCTGGCATTTCTGTGCGGCTCTGTGGCAGTCAGCAAAGATGGCCACAGACTTCTCCAGATAAAGGCAGCAGTCTCCTGACTGAGGTGGAGGCTGGGCCTGTTGGACACAGACACACCTGGGCTGACTTCCTAAGAAAGGCAAGGGACACTGGCTTTATGACTGAGTGTTTCAGTGAGTCATTCATCTGTTCCTCCATGCATCCACCCACCTACCTATCCATCCATCCAACCACCCATCCTTCTACCCATCCATTCACCCATTCACCCATCCATCCATCCATCCATCCATCTACCCACCCACCCATCCATTCATCCACCCACTCATCCATCCACCATCGACCCACCCATCCATCTACCCACCTGTATATTCATCCATCCATCCATCCATCCATCCATCCATCCATCCATCCATCCAACCACTTATCCCACCCACCGATCCATCTACCCATCCATCCATCTACCCACCCACCCATCCATCCATCTACCCACCCATCCATCCGTCTACCATCCATCCACCCACCCATCCATCCATCCATCTACCTACCCATCTACCCACCCACCCATCCATCCATCTACCATCCACCCACCCATCCGTCCACCCACCTATCTATTCATCCATCTACCCATCCATCCATCCAACCACTTATCCCACCGACCAATTCATCTACCCATCCATCCATCTACCCACCCACCCATCCATCTATCTACCCACCCATCCATCCATCCACCCACCCATCCATCCATCCATCTACCCATCTACCCACCCACCCATCCATCCATCTACCATCCGTCCACCCACCTATCTGTTCATCCATCCACCCATCCATCCATCTACCCACCCATCCATCCATCTACCATCCATTCACCCACCCATCCATCCATCCATCTACCTACCCATCTACCCACCCACCCATTCATCCATCTACCATCCACCCACCCATCCGTCCACCCACCTATCTATTCATGCATCCATCCATCCATCCACCCATCCACCCACCCATCTACCTACCCATCTACCCACCCACCCATCCATCCATCTACCTATCTATTCATCCATCCATCCATCCATCCATCCATCCATCCATCTACCCACCCACCCATCCATCTATCTACCCACCCATCCATCCGTCTACCATCCATCCACCCACCCATCCATCCATCCATCTACCCATCTACCCACCCACCCATCCATCCATCTACCATCCACCCACCCATCCGTCCACCCACCTATCTATTCATCCATCCATCCATCCATCCATCCATCCATCCACCCACCCATCCATCCATCCATCTACCTATCTATTCATCCATCCATCCATCCATCCATCCATCCATCCATCCAACCATCCAACCACTTATCCCACCCAGCCATCCATCTACCCACCCACCCATCCATCCATCTACCATCCATCAACCCACCCATTCATCCATTCACCCACCCACCCATCCATGTATCAATCCACCCATCCATCTGCCCACCCACCCAACCATCCATCCATTTACCCATCCACCCACCCATTCATCTATTCACCCACTCACCCATCCATCCATCCATCTACCCACCCACCCATCCATCCATCCATCTACCATCCATCCACCCATCCATCCACCCACGTATCCATCCATCCATCCACCCATCCATGTGTCCATCCACTCATCCATCCACCCACCCACCCAACCATGCATCCATCTACCCATCCACCCACCCACTCATCCATCCACCCACCCACCCAACCATGCATCCATCTACCCATCCACCCACCCATTTATCCATCCACCCACCCACCCATCCATCTATCCATCCACCCACCCACCCATCCATCCATTCGTACACCCACCCACCCATCCATCTATTAACATATCCATCCATCCATCCACCCACCCACCCATCCATGTGTCCATCCACTCATCCATCCACCCACCCACCCAACCATGCATCCATCTACCCATCCACCCACCCATTCATCCATTCACCCACCCACCCATCCATCCATCCATCCACCTACCCACACACTCACCCATCCATCCATCCATCCACCTACCCACACACTCACCTATCCATCCATCCATCCATCCATCCATCCATCCATCCATCCATCCATCCATGCATCCATCCATCCATCTATCCATCCAACCACTTATCCCACTTATCTATCCATCCATTCACCCACCCATCCACCCATCCATCTATTCTCTCCACCCATGCATCCAATTATCCACTCACTCATCCACCAACCCACCCATCCATCTATCCATCCACCCATCCACCCACCCACCCATTCATCCATCCATTCATCTATCCGTGCATCCACCCATCCATTCATCCATCTATCCATTCATCCATCCATCCATCCATCTACCCATTCTCCCACATATCCATCCATTTATCCAACCACTTATCCCACCCACCTATCCATCCTTTCACTCACCCATCCACCCAATCATCCAGTCATTCATCCACCTACCTACCCATTCATAAATCCATCCACCCATCCAGTAGAGGAGCCCCTGCTGAGTGCCAGATACTTTCTGCCTTCTTCAGTTCCTGTGTCGCCAGGCCCAAATCTGGCTAAAGAGATGTCTCCTCGTTTGGGTGTGGTGGCTCATGCCTGTAATCCCAGCACTCCCTGAGGCAAGACTGTGTGTGTGTGTGCACATGCATTTGTATGTGAGACTGTATGTGTGCACACGCGTTTGTGTGCAAGACTGTGCATGTGCATTTGTATGTGTGTGTGTGCACATGCGTTTGTATGTGAGACTGTGTGCACACGCGTTTGTGAGACTGTGTGCACACATGTTTGTAAGACTATGCGCACGTGCGTTTGTATGCGAGACTGTGTGCACACACACATTTGTATGTTAGACCGTGTGTGCATGCACGCACACATCCACAGGGAGAACTCAGTAGAAGTTTGTCAATTTCTCGGCAATTTAGAGAAGAAAGTAGAGTGAGAAGAGAAGAATGGGGACTTTTGGTTTGGCTTTGATTATACCTAACATACTCCATTTGTTTCTTTTTGGGAAGACCGTCCTTCCCACCTAAACACTGAGTTCTTAGCTGGGCATGGTGTCGTGCGCCTGAAGTTCCAGCTACTTGGGAGACTGAGGTGGAAGGATTACTTGAGCACAGAAGGTCGGGGCTGCAGTGGGTATGATCCTGCCTGTGAAGAATCACTGCACTCCAGCCTGGGCAACACAGGAGATCCAGTCTCTAAAAACATTTTAAAAAATTGAAAAGATCAGTCCTGATTGCAAAGGTTTAGGCAAGACTGGTCTATCTGCATTTTTTTCCTAAGATCACTAATCTGGTTCACAATGATGTGGCTGCAGTCGTTAAGTAGTACAGAATGGCCAGCTGTGACAAACATATCATCATTACTCAACATGTGACAGCCGCCCAGCCAGGGGGCTTAGCAGGACCTGCTCTGCCTGCGGCTGTTTCTAGATGCTTCTCTAGTCCACTTCACAACAGTTACTCTGCCCCAGCACCGGTGGCCCAGGGGTCACCTGCAGCTGCCTCAGTGCATGTCCTCACCTGTCCACCTCGGGGAAGGGGCCCCATCCTGCAGGGAGCAAGCTGACGGTCACTTCACTGGCTCTCAGCTGCTTTCAGGCATACAGCCTGTCTCGCGCTGCCGGTGCCCATATACATGGCTGTGGGGGGAGGTGCTGGGGCGTCCCCTGTGCTCTGGTGACACTGGTTCCTGCCAATACCCATTCAGACTGTGGAGCCAACTCCAGCAGGTGACGTGGTGGGGCCCCTCCGAGACCAGGAGCTTCACCTGCCTGCTGCAGGGTTCAGGCCAAGACCAGGACGGGGAGTGAGAACAGCCCCACTCAGGGGCCTGCAGGGGGAAGCAGGAGGCAGGTGCTGTGGGACCCTGACTGCAGGTCCCTCCGCCCACAGAGTGGGCAGTGCCTGGAGCTCACCCTCCCTCTGCGCCTTCCAGAAATCAGCCGCACATGGCATTTCCTTGATCCTGTAGAAAGCTGGGATTCCTTAAAATGTTGTTTCTAGCAAACTTCTTCATGATACCTAACTCTTTTTTTGAGACAGAGTCTTGCTCTGTTGCCCAGGCTGGAGTACAGTGGTGTGATCTCGGCTCACTGCAACCTCCACCTGCCGGGTTCCAGCGATTCTGTTGCCTCAGCCTCCCAAGTAGCTGGGATTACAGGCGTGTGCCACCACACCCAGCTAGTTGTTTTTTTTTTTTTAATAGAAACAGAGTTTCACCACGTTGGCCAGGCTGGTCTCGTACTCCTGACCTCAAGTGATCTGCCCACCTCAGCCTCCCAAAGTGCTGGGATTACAGGTCTGAGCTACCACCTGATCACCTGAGGTCAAGAGTTTGAGACCAGCTTGGCCAACATGGTGAAACCCAGTCTCTACTAAAAATACAAAAAAAAAAAATTAACCAAGTGTGGAGGCATGCGCCTGTAATCCCAGCTACTTGGCTGGCTGAGGCAGGAGAATCTCTTGAACCTGGGAGGTAGAGTTGCTGTGAGCCAAGATCAAGCCACTGCACTCCAGCCTGGGCAACAGAGCAAGACTCTGTCTCAAAAAAAAGGAGAGAAAGAAAATTTATTTGGAGGGCCAATCTAAATAGGTAAAAGGATTTCCTGTTTTCAATTTGTACTTTAATTTTCTGTGTATCTAGGGGCCTCACTGTGGGGCCGCTTGTATCTTATCGTCATGTCATTTTCCTGCTGAGTCTCTGATGCATCTGGAAATGATCTAGTGAAAAAGAACAAAT